TTAAGGCTGATTTCACGTTGAAATAAAAGTAATTGTGTAGAGTAGGTAAAGACGCAACTTGTGGTGGCGTGCTTGCTTTGCTACCGCACGCCCGGCCGCCCGACGTGGCGGCATGCGCCGAAAGGCCGGCAGGGTCTTTAAGTGTGCCGTCCCGCCGGTTCCGCGAGCGACGACGCACGCATCTTTAGAGATGTCAAATTAGAGGAGAGAGCGCTCGGCGCCCACGCCGGGGCTCCCCCTTAGACCCGGCGTCCGTGTGCACCGCACACCCTGCACTATAGGTAAAGCCGCCTCTGACAATATTACCTATGTGAATATACTTGCGTAATCCGTAGGTGATTAATAGATTTTGTTATAAAATACTAAAACATTTTTACATTGGGGCATTCCACGTGAAGCGGACAGGTAAAAAAACTCGATGTTTCCGATTTCAGTAATATTTGAGTATGTTCTACTTATACTTATTATTGATACGCGTACCAAATATTTTTGTGATATAATGACTAGTTAAAGAGTAATGGGACTGTGAAGTTTTCGACAACCGGTTGGCATGCAGTACTTCAAAGCCGATTATGGACTCATAAAATTATATATTAAAATAACTAAACCCGTGGATTTCCTACTTTATTTACTGGGCTTTTTAACTGTGTTTTTGGAAAAGAAAAAAATATCTTTTTTTCGGAAAAAAAATCCAATTTAAGTTTTTTTCCTTGATTTTCATCAAGTTAGACCATTTACTTTTTTTTTATTTTTTTTTATATAAATTGCTAATATTGTATAGAACATTGGTGCCAACTTTCATAATGGGCGTGAAAGTGGATTAGGAGCTAGACTGAAAATACTGCCGAAGGGTGGCGTCCAGCGCCGCGCCTGTTGACCGCCGCTTGTACGCGATTAGTCATCAAACTGTATATCAAATAAAATCACTTTTGACGGAATGTTTTGTAGATTTTTAATAAACCAATACATAGAAAAAATTCCACGCGGACCAGGCGGCAGACGGGACTCGAACCCGCACCCTTCGCAATCCGGGCGAATGCACTGAACAATTATGCTACCGCGGCCCTCACGGACCGCGTCAAAATTCCTCTAGCCATTCTTAAGCAGCAAGGCAGCGCCATCTCTTCGCATTATAGGTAATCCAAAATGTTATATTAGGGGCCGTTCATAAAATACGTCACGCTAAAATCAGCTTTTTCCGACCCCCTCCCCCCCTATTGTCACGCTGTGTCACACTTTCTGTGACCCTCTTGAAATATTCCGTCACAAAAACGGAGACCCCCCCCCCCCCCCCTCCCCAAGTATGATTAATTTTAATATTTAAGATTAATTCTTAATAAGAATGGCTAGAGGAATTTCGACGCGGTCCGTGAGGGTCACGGTAGCATAATTAGTCAGTGCATTCGCCCGGATTGCGAAGGGTGCGGGTTCGAGTCCCGTCTGCTGCCTGGTCCGCGTGGATTTTTTTCTAATTATATTTTCTTTAGATTTAAACATCAAGCAGTTACATGCTTTAAAGAAATAAAAATTATAACTATAATTGCTATTTCTTCTGTCAAATGTTTAATACTTGTAAAAGTATTCATTTGACATTGTGGGTTACCTATAATGCGAAGAGATGGCGCTGCCTTGCAGCTTAAGAATGGCTAGAGGAATTTCGACGCGGTCCGTGAGGGCCGCAGTAGCATAATTGGTCAGTGCATTCGCCCGGATTGCGAAGGGTGCGGGTTCGAGACCCGTCTGCTGCTTGGTCCGCGTGGATTTTTTTCTATGTATTGGTTTTATTAAAAATCTACAAAACATTCCGTCAAAAGTGATTTTATTTGATTGAAAGTTTAGATGACTAATCGCGCACAAGCGGCGGTCAACAGGCGCGGCGCTGGACGCCACCCTTCGGCAGTATTTTCAGTCTAGCTCCTAATCCAATTTCACGCCCATTATAAAAGTTGGCACCAATGGTCTACACAATATTAGCAATTTATATAAAAAAAATAAAAAAAAACTAAATGGTCTAACTTGGTGAAAATCAAGGAAAAAAACTTAAATTGGATCTTTTTTACGAAAAAAAATTAATTTTTTCTTTTCCAAAAACACAGTTAAAAAGCCCAGTAAATAAAGTAGGAAATCCAGTGGTTTACTTATTTTAATATATAATTTTATGAGTCCATAATCGGCTTTGAAGTACTGCATGCCAACCGGTTGTTGAAAACTTCAAAGTCCCATTACTCTTTAACTAGTCATTATATCACAAAAATATTTGGTACGCGTATCAATAATAAGTATAAGTAGAACATACTCAAATATTACTGAAATCGGAAACATCGAGTTTTTTTACCTGTCCACTTCGCGTGGAATGCCCCATTATTTAAAGGAAATAGATTATAACATATATCTATTGTAAGTAGAATAACTATTTGTACTTTACACGAAAAATTCTAAATTATCAGAATAGGCACTAAGGCGCTTTGCAGACGATGGGGCGGGGCGGGCCGGTCAAATTCGCCGCGAACGATAGCACAAAGTGAATCCTATATTACAAACGCACACAGAGGGCAAAAAGACCGCGCCGCAGGTGCCCGGCGGGCACTGGCGGCGCGGCATGTCCGCGGCTGCCCGCCGTGGATCATACAAACCAGTTTATATGCAGTAACGCAGACGGCGGCGCGGGGCGGTCAGCTCAGTCCGCGCCACGCGCTTTTTAGTGATGGACGATTCACTAGAACGAACGTCCTGCACTGACCGCCTCTGCCCGTCGTGTGCTTTGTGTACGCGGCGCGGGCAGCCGCAGACATCGACGGGGAGACGCGGTTTTTATTGCTTCGCGGACAAAATGCCCGCCGAGCCCCGTCGTGTGCAAAACGCCTAATGGTTTATAACAATCATGACGTGCTTAGTCGTATCATACATTTTATTTGGTCGAGCTCGAATATTGATTCTCCATCATTGTAGACGATTTGTGCCAGCCCTGTTGCAGTCTGTAAGTCACATTTACACGTGGAATAATTTCAGCAAGCCTGTAGGTTTGACCCAACGATATTAAATACCCTAGATACAATATCATGAACGAAATTGGCCGTAACCTGCCTAAAAGGTGCAATGGACAATCCACAGCAGCTTAATCTACATAGTGCCCTAAGATGCGCAGCGGATTAAGCTACTACGGATCTTAGGGCACTATGTGACCAGATCTCTCCTCGTTACCCTGCCCTGACTTCCACACCTATTTAAGTAGTAAATAGGCTAACTAATGTATTCGGGTACAAAAAAAAACACATAAAATTGTTTCCCTTTTTAATCTCATATCAAATTACTGAACATAAATTATTATTTTAGTACAATCTATTGTGTCTAGGTTTTAGATTTTCTTTAAAATATTAAATAGCGTGGCACCATTGAGATTGTTATTGTTTGGCTGGCATAAACTATCTCAATGATTCATCGCACCTTAGAAAAGTTCTAACTACAACCAGACGATTCTGAATCGTACCGACCCATTTATTCTTAATATTTTTTTCACAATTTATATGGAGTTAACATAATATGTATATGATATTTTATTACTCTTAAGTTTACTACGTGATACTAAAAGTAATTGCTAGTTATTTACAGTTAATTACAAGCTATTTTATATATTTGTTTATTACAAGCTGTGTCACATAACCACAAAGTGATTACAACACCACTTCGTTTACTGGCGGTGTCGCTAAGCTAAGCAATACAACCTGCCAGATTTTTTTTCTATACATTAGTATTTTCTTAAAACAATGATTTATCACACTTGTACTGTAAATACATGGCAAAGAATAATACTATCTATAATTAAACGTTAAGAGATGTAAGCCCAAGATAACCAAAGTATAAGTTAAAATTAGGTGACAATGGGAAGTAGCAAGAATATGCGCACCTTGCTGTAAGTGGTCCCTGGTCAATAACATTTTTTTTAAATAATAAATATACCTTTAACCCCATTCATTAGTGGTTATTAAAAGAAAAATAGAGTAGTAGCATCTCTAATATTAAAATAATGATAAGGAACTTCAACAAATTTGAAAAAACCTGTATAGATTTCATGTTTCCTTTTCAATGATAAAAAGTGATAGTAGGAATGTTTTGTATGTGAAATATGTTCTTAATATTATTTAAGCATTCTAAAACAGCATATCAAATTGAAAGAAAAAAGTTATTGCTACATTTACAATATTCATAATTATTTACGTTACTCATCAATAACAATCATAAATGTTAAGAATCTATTATGGCTCAGACCATTTTTTGAAATGAAAACAAAGAAATTGGTTATAATTTAAAATAAATTATTGTAATTATTTTCTTATGAGGAGTTTGTAGTAAAGATTTTCCTACTATGAATAATTTGAAAACACACATGTTTGGTATATTTGGGTTTAAGAACAAAACTTTCGGGTAAAATCAATATAATTGGAAGTTTGGTAACCTTAGTACAGTTGTTATATTAATAAAATCAATTACAAAACCAAGAAATACACCATTTGTAATCGTAAGAGCAGTTGAAACAAGTAAACTTCATATTATTATATAATATAACATATCATAAACAATTTAAAACCTGTTTATTTATATATTTAAAATAATATTATGCAGCTTAACAAAGAAATGAAATTAAAAAAAAAAGTTTTAATAAATTTAAACATGATTGTACCTATTAGCCTGGGAAAAGCCACATTTTCAGAAATTCAGTATTAACTAGCAAACCCAGCGAACTCCGTTTCGCCACCAGATAGCTTCGTTTTATGTAACATTTCATTTTGTGATTAAAAGAAAACGATTTTTTTTTTCCTGAATTTTCTTTGCTATAAACCTCACGGAGCCCGAGACCTTTCCAACGAATGCAAAACCGTGGAAATCGGTTCGTGCGTTCTGGAGTTATAGTGTCAGGAAGGAAAACCCGACTTATTTTTATATAGTAGACTAGCAAACCCAGCGAACTCCGTTTCGCCACCAGATTTATGTAACATTTCGTTTTGTGATTAAAAGAAAACGATTTTTTTTTTAAATTTTTCCTGAATTTTCTTTGCTATAAACCTCACGGAGCCCGAGACCTTTCCAACGAATGCAAAACCGTGGAAATCGGTTCGTGCGTTCTGGAGTTATAGCGTTAGGAAGGAAAACCCGACTTATTTTTATATAGTAGATAATACTACCGTAGAGATAATAACAGAACTATTTTTCTTGGTCTATCAGTAGATTAACAAAAAGTTTTCAACATATATTTTTTTCCTTATTCACATAATCAAAAAAATACAGAGACATAATGTCTTGTACCATTTTGACTTAGAAATGACGTCACGAGCCCTTCCAAACTTTGATGTGCTATTTGTTATTTTTTGGTTGATTGATAAAAGCAAAAAAAGTGGCCATTTTTTTTTACAAACTAAATATCTGACTAAATAGATACTTATTTACTTTGCCCCCTCATCATCAAATTTTTTTTATGAAATTTCACAGAAGGATTTCAATTTGTAAAATAGCCCGAATAAGATAAACTTGCTTATAATTAATATTAAAGAATAAAAAAATAAATATTATATAGTAAATATTCTTATAGCAACTTGTCCCTACTCATTTTATCTGGATCTGAGTAAATCTTGTTCAATTGATTTAAAGACTGTAAATATTTAACAGTCACATTAAAATTTCCCTCCAAAAATGTTCAAAGCCAGTTTTCATATTAAGATAATTGATAATACACTATAAGTCATCAATTAAAATTATCACAGTTTAGAAAGATTGTTGGCTTTCACAAAATGGCTAAAATGATGTAAATAAATGAAAATAACTTACATAATGTAAGCAACAAAGCATTTTCTTTTAGGCTTTCATTTATTTATGAAAAGTTCACTTTGTAATAGGTGTAAAATGAAGATTAACAGCACTTCAAGTTTCTTTGTGTTCGTAGGTATTAATTGAGATGAATATGTAGAAAATGTCATAATAGGAAATTTCCCAATTATGTAACATATAGTTTTTACTTCTTAGATGCCATCAATTTAAATTTTTCATATTTGATGATACATTTCTATCAAAATATTTCTCCACATTCAATCTTTTTGCTCTCTCGTTTGGTAGTGACTCAAAACTATGAGATCTTTTTCTAGGGTCAATAATTCTATTCCTTTGTTATATTCATAATGAAATGCCAGAAGGTATTCCACTCGGCGACTAATTCAGCTGTTAATTACATCAGTAACAAGCTCGTTTCTACAAACTATCTTTCTCGTTTACGCTCTTGAGATGATGATGTTCTTTAATTGAAAATGTCAACGCTTAACTTTTGAAGTTGTGCGACCAATCGAATCGAAGAACTACATTGTCTGCAACTTGTGGTCCTTGGCATTAAACGTCACTCCGCGACCAGTGTCCCATTTCATCTCTCACCTGATTACAAAAAAACAATGAACAATTATTTATTATAGCAATACTTAAGTTTATTGTATTAAGCAAATGCTTATCTAAGGCAAGCATTTCACATTTTAATTTTTTTGCTTTTCTCGTATTTGTAAATTTGCTGTCAAGTCTCTCCTTTTCATTCCTTACAGATTATGGATAAGGCTGCTGTCGAATGTACAAATAGTAAATACGATAACCTCTGTGAAGTGCTAGCGTAAGGTAGTTTTAGCAGTTAACGTCAGGTACGCCCCAATTACTTAAACAAGTTAGTTTTTCATGTTAATGTAGAGTTAATTTTAAAGGGACGTGATTTAGTCTGTAATATATAGGGTGAAATTTAATGTTTTAATGAAACTTCGTGGGATTGTTGGGTTACGTATATAGAATCTTATCTTATCGTATCTCTGAATCTTTTCGGATTTTTTAATATGATTTAAAAAATTTTTTTGTTATATTTTAAGTCCTTTCCTCCTTTTGGGTTCTTAATAATTATTCTTTTTAAACACGCATACAGAGTAAGTAAAAAACAACTAATAAGCGCTACTAAAAAAAACGTAAAAACGGAAGACGGGCGGCCGGGAGCAATGACCACTCCCGCCGTTGAATACCTTCCTACCTACCTATGCGCGGTGCAAAGCGCAGTGAGCGAGCGCAGTCTCAAGTCTATCCACCGCGCGTTCGATCTTTTAACCTCGCGACAAGACAAGATTTGCAAATAATGCCTTGATTAGTTCTTGTTCTTTGGCATCAATATAAGAATTTGGACATGGTGTGTCGTTATTGCGAGTGTCACGGAGCAGAGCCACAAACAAGGCTTTACGAAAGTAGGTTTGGTGATTGATTCTGCTTACAAAGTGTATATGGGAAATTAAAGTGAAAAAAATTAAAAGACACATCGGTCTCGTAAGTACTTTTGAATACCTGGTTATAAATTTCATTCTGACCCAAGTATTGAACTGCAATAAGTACTTCTTTTTGTTTAACATTTGCCTATTTCCGTAACAAAATTATTATTAACTTTTTAAGTTTTTCTCTGCTTAAGAGAAGATGACATTTGTGCTTATTATTTCAATAAAGGCATCTAAGACGATTTTATTGTATTGTGTGGAATCAAAGGAGTCGGCTGTGCTCTGTGTACCTACTCACTCAACGGCTGGCGGGCGCGGTCGGTCGTTGACCCGTGGTGGCCGCGCCCGCTTAATTTTACTGTTTTTCCGTTTTTTAGAAGTGCTTATTTATTAGTTGTTTTTCACTGGATATGTAAGTATGCTTGTTTAAAATGAATAACTACTCAAAAGGAGGAAAGGACATAAAAATACACAAATTATGAATATAAAATATATGAAAAAAAAAATCCGAAAAAAATCAGGCATGCTCTATACACGTACCCCAATAATCTCACAAAGTTTCATTAAAACATTAAATTTCACCTTATATATATACATATATATTTAGAATAGGTGCGAGTGAATAGTGAGAATGTGACACGGAGGAAAAACAAAGAGGAGGTGTGGTGATTATGTTTTCTCAAGAAACGACGCGTGATAATTTGCGGGATGCGGGGTGTTCAGCTCCGCCCACTTCTCAATATTTCATCTATCGGCTAATAGCAAAACTAGCTTAGGTTGATATTTATGTTACTACGTAGTAGTTCAGCTATCTAACACTAGATGTTCAAAAGTTTTGTATATAATGGGACGTACTCAGAACTTGAAGCTTCAAAAAAATGAAATATGTAGGTAAATAAATAAAATAAACGTTAACAAATTTGACCGATTTTAAAATTTTTAAGGTATAATTTTTATTATTTTAAAACATGTAACTGCTTGATGAAAAAAAATCCAGGCAGACCAGGCAGCAGACGGGACTCGAACCCGCACCCGCTCCCGTCTGCTGCCTGGTCCGCGTGGATATTTTTCTAGTTATATTTTCTTTAGATTTAAAATTTAAGGTAGTTTAAAAATAATAGACAAAATGTTATTACAAACATAATTTTATTAAAAAACATCAATTACCTGTAAATAATAGTTTTGGTTAGTTGTTGTCGGTTGGTTGCCGTATCGTTTTGTATTGTGGCAAAATGCTTAAAACGAATATCAATATATTTTTCTGCAATCGATTTCATCAGAAATACAACATGATTAACTGTAGGTGATTGGTCAAACATATGGTTGGCCGATTTTTTGAAACAATCTTGTCCAATAAGTGATTTTAATGTATTCGATACAATTTTATGTTTACGAAAGTTAGGAGTATTCAAAGATTGCGATTTAACACAACGAATACTGCCTTCGGTCCGTATACATATTTTTATGACATCTCTAGATGGGAAAGTAAGACCACCCTTATTTTAAGTTTTTATCAAATCAAGGTCACTATCGTCGTAGTTATCAGCATATAATTCTTTGAGACAGCTCTCACATTTGATCTTGGAATGTAAATATTTGACCACATACCCAGAAATAAATGCTACTATTTGACGGCGCAAATAGTCACCTATAGTTGTATTTAATTGTTCATCAAATTCCAATAACATATCGTCAGGCATAGGCTCGACATCCGTGCTATCCGAAGACTCGAAACTCATTTTATTTAAAATGCGATAACGTTCTGATGTAATATTAATTTTTTGCACAGAAGATTCATTTAAAATGGAAATATCTTCTTCTTCTATGGTGTCCAATCCGGTCTATTAAGTTTTGAAATCCATTGCTGTTTTAAATTATCGTTGGATGGAAATCTAAAACGAACATAAAAATAATTAAAATTTATTTACTTGGTAAATAATTTAATACGTATTACGGCCCTGGATATTTGTAACGTTTAAAAAGTTATTCTATATGACGACAGATGGCGGCCAGTTAGTAATATATTGATAAAATTACTGTTTTAGATACTAAAAGTTATTTAGGAATAAGTGTATAACAGTTTTCAGTATTTACGTATGATTATTACAATATAATACTGCAAAATTATACGTAAACTTGTGTATTTTCTTCCTAAAAGTGTCGCCATCTGGTGTCAAGTAGTAGAATTTTAACGCTGAAAGCTGAGGCTGAGAATGTTCTAGAACTTATATATTTAATTACGTATAAAATTTCTTACAAATGAAATGTGATGCCATCCATATTATCAGAACGTCTGTCTGAGTAACTTTGACATAGTAAAACACAAAACTTCATCCTTTTCTTGTTAAAAACGCAAAAAAACACTTATAATGCGAGTCTCGTTAAGTGTGCACCTGACGAACGCTGAAAGCATACTGACTTAGGCCCCGCCCACAATGATGACGTCAGGACCTAGTTGAAAATCACAGTGCACAGTTGCTTAGGCCAGCTCCTCTTTGTTTTTCCTCCGTGGAATGTGACCAATGGTAGAGGTATCGAGCGCAGTAAAAGACGACGTCAGAGGGTAGACCCATATGTCTGCCAATAACATCTACCCGCAATTACTTCAGTTAATCCGTGATCAACGCGCTTGCAGTGCCGAAATATCGGAGACTCGTAAAAAACAAGGTACATGATAACAATCCCGTTAATAGCTATAATATTTACATTTCTGCCATATATTTGTTTACGGTATTGCTATACAATGCCTGTACGGGGCCCGCCAGTGAGCTAGTACTGGTCGTAGTGGAGGGTGGCGGGGTGCTAGTAGTTTACGGTGACGTGGTGTTTACCTGTCAGTGAGCTAGTACTGGTCGTAGTGGAGGGTGGCGGGGTGCTAGTAGTTTACGGTGACGGGGTGCTAGTAGTTTACGGTGACGGGGTGTTTACCTGTCAGTGAGCTAGTACTGGTCGTAGTGGAGGGTGGCGGGGTGCTAGTAGTTGACGGTGACGGGGTGTTTACCTGTCAGTGACCTAGTGAGCTAGTACTAGTCGTAGTGGAGGGTGGCGGGGTGCTAGTAGTTGACGGTGACGGGGTGTTTACCTATCAGTGAGCTAGTACTGGTCGTAGTGGAGGGTGGCGGGGTGCTAGTAGTTGACGGTGACGGGGTGTTTACCTGTCAGTGAGCTAGTACTGGTCGTAGTGGAGGGTGGAGGGGTGCTAGTAGTTGACGGTGACGGGGTGTTTACCTGTCAGTGAGCTAGTACTGGTCGTAGTGGAGGGTGGCGGGGTGCTAGTAGTTGACGGTGACGGGGTGTTTACCTGTCATTGAGCTAGTACTGGTCGTAGTGGAGGGTGGCGGGGTGCTAGTAGTTGACGGTGACGGGGTGTTTACCTGTCAGTGAGCTAGTACTGGTCGTAGTGGAGGGGTGCTAGTAGTTGACGGTGACGGGGTGTTTACCTGTCAGTGAGCTAGTACTGGTCGTAGTGGAGGGTGGCGGGGTGCTAGTAGTTGACGGTGACGGGGTGTTTACCTGTCAGTGAGCTAGTACTGGTCGTAGTGGAGGGTGGAGGGGTGCTAGTAGTTGACGGTGACGGGGTGTTTACCTGTCAGTGAGCTAGTACTGGTCGTAGTGGAGGGTGGCGGGGTGCTAGTAGTTGACGGTGACGGGGTGTTTACCTGTCAGTGAGCTAGTACTGGTCGTAGTGGAGGGTGGAGGGGTGCTAGTAGTTGACGGTGACGGGGCGTTTACCTGTCAGTGAGCTAGTACTGGTCGTAGTGGAGGGTGGCGGGGTGCTAGTAGTTGACGGTGACGGGGTGGTGCGCGTGGTTCTGACCGCTGACGGTGAACGTTGTGGGCACGCTGGCTGTACTCGTAGGCGCCGTTCGTACCTCCTGAATAATGTTATTTTTTTTATGTTAAAAGGGTGGCAAACAAGCGTCGGTTCCGCCTGGTGGTAAGCATTTGTCGGACCTATCTATAAAAAAAAGCGGCCGGCCCCACGGCCATTTACCTCGCGACAAGTGAATTCTCCTATGCCAGAAATCGAAACAATTGACGTATGCTTGAGGAATACTGTCAAAACATTGTTCGGCGTAACTTGAAACGAGGTAAGTCGAGGACTGCCTGTAATTCTAACTACGAATACAGCGGCTCCAGACTCGAATTCTGGGGGGGAACGATATTTGCGTGATGAACACGGTTATATTTCTAACAGTCATATACGGTTTGTATGTACAGTGCAATCAAGTCATCCTCATTTCACCACTTATTCACCAGTAGCGCCTTCCTGTCAATGTCATGTAAATGCTACAAGATCTTTGTTACACGTTATATGGTAGCTATGTTCAGTTTGGGGCCAGCTAGATGATTTATTTAAAAAAGTGTTGAAGACATTTACAATTATAGATTTATTTATTATACCTCGTACAAGGTTTTATCATTGTTTTTGTTTGATTATAAACTAGAATTGCAAACGTGAAGTTTGTATTATAATAGAATCAACTTACTTGACTCGTTATTTGCATCACAGTTGGGTTGCTTTGTTGATGTTCCGTAACATTATTTGCAGCTGGCTTGCTGCTTTCTGCTGTTGTTCTGAAATATATACAAGCAGTAAGATTTTGTGAACATCTGTAGTTTAGTACTACAACTAAAGACACTGCAAAACAGAGCATTATTCATTGACTTGAATTGCTTTTTTTCAAATAAGTAGTTTGAAAAGGCCTCGTCTTTCACCTAGACAATTATGCTAAAGTACGGCAAACTAGAAGCAATACAAAATGTAAACAAAATCGATAAAGGTCATTAGCCAATGCAGGGTTTGGTAACAATTATTGTTTAAAATAAAATTTTATTTATGAAAATTAACATAGCACTTTTATCATTTTTATTAGCCACATATTTCAATGAAATTTCGCAAACTGTGTTCTTTTGTCATTAATATTTTAATAAGCTTAAATTACTTAAATTAATTCTTAAAATAATGACAGCAGAAAATGCTTGACCATTAAGTCTGCCTTTTGTTCTGATTTTTGTGTTTTTTGTAGATTTAGGTTTTATAAATAAACAATATAGGGGAAACTACCCAATCATTGGCATTCTACCTATTATTGGCACTTTTGAGTTTTCGAAAAAAACAGAAAACAATAGATTGTAGGAATAATGCTGCCAATTTTCAAATTTCGAAACCATACTAGGTTTTTCTTTTTAATATATAACAACGTCGAATAATCTATTGTTTCCTTGTTTTTCCGAATTAAACTCAAAAGTGCCAATAATAGGACGAGTGCTAATGATTGGGTGGTTTTCCCTAACATTTTTTATATTACTTTCTTATTTATCCAGGTACCGATTCTTCAGAGTAAATCAAAAGAGCTCAAAAAATAAATATTGTTAGTTATTACCACCAGTAGTATCAGAAAGACTCGGACCGAAATGAAAAAAAAAAAAAACATTTTTTACTATAACTCGGCGCCACGGCGATCAGGTGACATGACCGAATGAGACCTAATGTCATATATATGAGATGAAAGAGATAGTTATTAGACTGTCAGTCCCATAGTCTCCTCTAAGGTGAATGAACTTTTGTATCGCTTCTCGTTGGCCTTGATAACAACACGATAGTTGTTGCCATAGACTAACTTTATTACGAAGTTAAATTACACACATAAAATACATAGACAACCAACATAGAGCAAACTGCATTATGATACTGGCGCTAGTAGTATCAAAAATAGGATTATATTTGATATATTTTAACATCTCCTCTTATCAAAATAATCTAATATCTATGTAATTATATAACAAATGAATATAAACTACACCTAAACAATACTTTGAATGCCTAACTTTTTAACATAACAGTAATGTTTCAAACTACTTAATCCTTTTGTTAACAGGTCAGCGGGCATTTCAGTAGTTGGCAGATGTACAATCTTTACTAAGTTATTAGTAACAGTTTCCCTAACGTGGTGACGTACATCTATGTGTTTCGATCTCTTATGGTATAATGGGTTTTCAGATAACTTCTGAGCCTCTTGGTTATCATTGTATATAACAATAGTGTAATTACAGTTTACAATTTCAGATAACAAATTTTTCAAATATATAGCCTCCTTACAAGCTTCACTTATTGCCATGTACTCAGCCTCCATGCTGGACAATGCCACTGTCGGTTGTTTTCTGCAGTCATATGTATTACAGTACCAGACAGTTTAAAGCAGAAACCTGTATAAGATCTCCTGTCAATAGTATTTGATGCCCAATCTGAGTCTACAAATCCTTCTAAGTTTTTATTATCATTTGTAAACATTAAACCATAAGACTTTGTTTTATTTAAATACTTTAACACTCTCTTCGCATGTTTCCAGTGAACTGCGGAAAAACAATTGTTAAATTGACTTAAACAGCTGACACTGTAACTGATATCTGGGCGTGTAAGTATGGACAAATACATAAGACTTCCTATCAGCTGCTGATAAGGATATTGTTTACAAACATTCTCTGACTTGTCCAACTTCAAATTACATTCAATAGGAGTATCAACAACATTACAGTTTGACATCTTAAACTTATTTAAAATATGTTCAACAAAATGCTCCTGATCCAATGATATACAACTATTTTTATATATTTTTACTCTCATACCTAAGCATTTTTTCACTTGTGCTAAATCTTTGGTTTTGAATTTTGACATTAAACTATGTTTCAGTTCATCTGTCAATGCCTTGCTACTGGAAAATATAAAAAAAATCATCAACAAAGACAGTTATTACAATTTGTTCCTTATTTACCTTTTTAGTATATAAACATGGTTCCAATTTAGACTTAATATAGACCTGGCTTAACAAACAATCATCTACTCTCTTATTCCACTGTCTTGCAGATTGCTTAAGACCATAAATGGCACGTTTTAACTTGAGTACACTGTTACTCTGACATTCTAAATTAGGTGGTACTTGCATATATACTGTTTCTTCAAGGTAGCCATTTAAAAATGCAGTGTTTACATCAAGATGAGTAATTTCGAAATTTAACTTTACACTTAAAGCAAATAAAATTCTCAAGGTTGAGTGTCTTAACACAGGTGAGTATGTTTCTTTATAGTCCACACCCTCAACTTGGGTAAAGCCCTTAGCGACTAAACGAGCTCTATATCTCACTTTCAAACTTTCTTTTGAAAATCCACTTGCATTTAACCACTCTATCTGCTTCCTTGTCAGTTACCACTTCCCAGGCTTGGTTTTCTTCGAAAGCTTTTAACTCTTCTTTCATAGCCTGTCTCCACATCTCACTTTCAGGACCGTTCATCGCCTCCTTATAAGAGATTTCTTCGTCGCAAGTGCCCAACTCGTCTACAACACAGAGGTTTGTAACACCATACCTCTCAACTGGTTTTCTGACACGCTTGCTGCTTACTATGGATACTTCATCTGCTCCTGAAGCATTTTCTTCTCCATATAGCGTATGGTAGGAGTCATCTGCTGTTAAGCTGGAACTTGATGTGTCACATATGTAAGTAGGGTCATTCTTATCCAAGAAAGTATCATTCATTTCAACTGTTTCTTCTTTATCTGATAGTTGATCCTGCTCTTTATTTCTTTCTTGTACTACAATCTTAGCCATTTCAGTATCTTTTTCATTCTTTTCCATTATAGTTATATCTCAGCTAGTAGTAACTTTTCTAGTTTCAGGATTATATAACCTATATCCTTTTGTATTTTCTGGATAGCCAATCAAAATAGATTTAACGGCTTTCCTATCCCATTTTTGTCTCTTAATCTTGGGCACATGCACCATCACAGGACTTCCGAATACTCTTAGATGACTGAGATCAGGTTTGTATCCTGTCCATTTCTCAAACGGTGTCACGTCTCCTAGACCAGAAGCCGGCGACCTATTTTTTAAGAATACTGCCGTATTCACTGCTTCAGCCCAGAAATTCTTATTTAACTCAGCCTCAAAGAGCAAACATTTTGCATGTTCAACCACAGTCCTATTGAACCTCTCGCAAAGACCATTGTGCTCTGGAGTATATGGGTTAGTTTTCTGATGGACAATACCTGATGCTTTCAAGAATGTTTCCATTTGTTGTAAGCAATATTCTCCTCCATTATCTGTTCTAAGACTTTTAACTTTATTTCCAGTTTGTTTTTCAACCATACTCAGAAATTCTTTGAAAAACAATAACATTTGGTTTTTTCTTTCAAAAAATAAACAAATGCCATTCGGCTAGCATCATCTACAAAAAAAAAAGATAAATTAAAAAATCAAAAAACCCGACTGCTTATTTATACTTCAAATAAAAACTGAAAAGAAAAAAAACAAGTCCAGTAGTCTATAATTCTGTTAATAAGGAACAAAGCTACTTTAACAGTCGGGACCCATTAGATATTCAAGAGTACATGATATTTTTCAACAGTGTACAGAGTACTCCCAGTAGTGCAAGCATGGCAATTATTTTCCAATTTTTTTTTGTTTAATAAAATACCGAATAACGTATCACTGTTAAGCACAAATGCTAAGTAACTTTTACAAATATAATCAAATAAACCTATTACTTACTTTATTTTTAAATCTTTTTCATCAATTAAATACTTATCTTATCCTAACTATCTATACTAATATTATAAAGAGGCAAGATTTGTATGTTTGTAATAATCTGTCAAACTACTGAACCGTTTTCAAATATTAATTCATCATAAGGTAGCTACATTATTTAATATAACATTTCTCTTTATTTAAATACATTTTGTCCGAGTGACATAGGCTATATTTTATCCCGATAAATAAATTTCGCCCGTATTACTTATGGGCATTGGCCCGGGTGGATCACTAGTAAGTATAATATAATATTATAGATGCGAAAGTGAGTTTGTTTGTTGCGCTTCCGTGCCCTAATAGCTAAATCGAATATAATGAATTCCCATATAAAAGTAGATGGGAACTTGGTTCTTAGCTACAACATCGCAATACTTATAGGCGTAGGGTGATGAAAGGGGTGATTTACCTGTAAAAATCTACATTATTTACTTTGAATTTTGCAGAATTATTACAAAACCAATATTATCGCGAGCTGATTAATAAATACAGGGATTCCAATAAGTATGTACTTACTAGCGAAAAATGGGTTATTTGTCGTTATATTCAGTAAACCTTTTTTGTAGCATTAAGTAATATCGTTAAAAAAAATGAAAAACAGTAAAATTCTGAGTTTTTCATTAAAATTCAATAATCATAAATACCTATTATGATAATATATTTTTCATCATTTAATAAGAAGGAACTGTATCACAGTTTTATTGTTAGTACTTCGTATAGGATCAGATACTGCGAATACCCCATTTTTTTTTCTCTTACATAGTACACCGCGCTATCACTTTGTCATCGTTGTAACTTTTTAAATATTTGTCGAAATGACATAGTGTAAAAAGCAAAGTTTATCGCCTTTAAATATCAAAAGCGATAAAAGTATTTGTTTGGATAAAAAATGATTTGTTAATCAAAATGTGCATTTTGGAAATAGATATCAAATAATGTTTTAGTTTTGATTCACTATTTTAGCGGTAATTACTCACACATTAAAAATAGATATATGGTGTCACGGACTTTTTTTTAGAACTATTTAAGAGATACATTTTCACTCTACATTACATTCATATAACTTTTATTGTTTTTGCAGTGCAAGGCAAAATGGCTCGCAGATAGGAGATTTTTTTCCGTCTTATGTGACACTTATTGTTATATATTGGCCAATTAACTCAATAACTACACAAATTATTATAATATGTAATTATCATATATGAGCTATATTACTGTTAAGTTTCATTAAAATCCATTCAGTATTTTTTAGGTGAAAGAGTAACAAAGATCCATATAAACGTAAGATTGAAATTAAAAGCGTAAGTGGTTAATATACAACTTTAAAGCGTTGTAGATCCTAAACAATCACATAAAATGAAAAATGGTGTTAGGCACCTAAATATGATTTTTGATTATCTAGACAGTGATACCCCACTCGACATATTTTGTCAACTTATTTTTTTTACTTCGTCACAATATGGCGCCTAATTTTGCCCATATTGAATTTTGATTACTATCATATCTTTAGTAGCACTCCCATGATTGAGACGAATCGATTGATGTATGAATCATGAAAATCGGTCCAGGCGTTTGGTCTCTAGTGTGCCACAAAGGAACAAACATACATAAATAGACTGTTAAACACATAACCCTGTCTGCGCGTCGCGCTTCGCGCTCTTGCATTGCGCAGCCGGGTAAAAAGAAGGAAATACTTTGCGCCCCCAATGGATTTTGACTCCATAGGACCACATAAATCTGAGTGCATAATTTCTAACAATGTTTCACTTCTGTGGTTTGAAGACGGGAATGGTAAACGAACTTGTTTTGCTTCACAACACACCTCACAGTTGGCTTTTGTTATATCAGCCTTTTCTTTGTAGGTGACTCCCTCTACAGCTCCATTTTTTCCAGGTCACAGCTGTCGATATGTGCCAGTCTTCTATGCCATTGCCTTGCATCCGTGTTGTGAACTGCTGTTGCTGCAAGCAACTTCTCTGAATTCACTGTATTTAATTTGTACACTCCATTATGTAGATTTGCTATTCCTATTAGCACATTCTGTTGGTTACGAATATAACAAGCATTTTTGTTAAATGATACTTTGTTTCCATTTGCAATCAACTGGCTAACTGATAATAGATTTGTTGTAAGGTTAGGAATGCACAAAATGTTTCGCAACGGTATGTCAAACTGAGAATCTTTCACATACGTCGTAATTCGTGTATTACCTGTACACATTACTGGCATTGACATTTTATTTGCAACAACTATCTCTTTTATATCGTGTAATTCTTGAATTTCAAACAAACTTTCTCGATTCGTCGTCATATGGGTACTCGCGCCACTGTCTATATACCAATCATCTGTGCAGAATTGTCCATTCAGAAAAGCTACATTAAAGGCACCTGCTTCTTTTATTTTCTCAGTGCATTGGTTTTATAGTGACCAAACTGCTTGCACTTGTAACATTTTATTTGTTTACCACTTGCAGTTGACAGTTTTGACGTTTGCTTTGACTTGCTTGCAGTTTTGCTATTTCTCGTTGGTTTACTCGACCAGAATGCAGATTCACCTCCAGTGCTACCAACATCACCAGTCATATCGAGAAGTTTCGTTTTTATGACGTCAGAGCTTACGGTTAAACCAGAATGTTCTATCGCCATTATCATGGGCGAAAACTTTTCTGGTAGACCCGCCAAAAGCAATGATCCGATCCATTCTTCATTGATTTCGAATCCAGTACTTTTCAACCGTTGAGCAGTTTCCACAATCTGAGACACATAATTTGTCATCGTCTCACAGTTGTCAAGACGAATATTTATCAATGTCCGTAGTAAACTGATTTTTCTGGAGAATCCTTTGTCATCGAATAACTGCTTTAACTTGTTCCATACAGTCGTAATTGTGTTTTCATTTCTAATATGCACATATAACGAAGGATCTACGGTCATCACAAGTTTGGCTTTTGCTTTGCTTTGTTTTGTTTCACTCAAAGATGGCGAAATGTCGTCTATATCGACGCCTTCTAACAGCAGAAAATTCTTGACGGCAAATGACCAATCATCATAATTTTCTCTTCCTTTCAATTTAGGCACATTTATAATGTAACTTGAGGTCGACATTTTTGAGAAATACACTTAAATACTTATTTAATTATTTGGAAAATTTGCAAGGGCACATAACCTGATAATAACACGATAGTTGTTGCCATAGACCATGGAGCACCCCCACTAGAGTCCGCATCACACAAATTTTGTTTGGAATCAAAATCGCCAAAGTCGGTGGGGTGCAGGGAGGTCAGCCCCGCTGTGATTGGGCGCGTCAAGGTTAGATCATATACTCAGTGCAGCGAAGTGATGAGGGTAAGATCGATTTTAGAAAATATCGATATTTTCTATAGTTAAACAATTTAGAATAGAGGCCTAATACTTTGGTGCGCGAGTGTAAGCAAATGCGTAATCATACCCTCTCCACTTTCTTTCAGCGTTCTAATTACATGACGCGACTAGTAACTACATACTAAATTATATTAAAGCAACACAAAAAAAACACGTCCAGGACAAGAAGTATTAATGCAACGTTATTAACTACCCTAGATACAACAACACGAACAAAATCGTGGCCGAAAGGTGTCCAAAAGGTATATTGGACGATCCACGGAGGTCCGTAAGATGATCGCGTGGTCAAAAACAATATAATGCCTTATTTAAACATTGAAAGTCACCTTTAATGCATACAGCATAAGGTCTTAATTAAAATGCATGCGTCAAGTTCGTAAAATTTTACGATTTATTGTTATATGTGAAACAATATAGACCTTATGTTTTTGACTTTTCACGCGCAATTTTGAATGCGCTGTTAGCAATATAGCAGGTACAGACCGCGAAGAAAAGAGACGGCTAACCAGCCATGCATTTGAATATCACAAATATTTTATATTAAATCAGTTTATAGTAAGTATTACAACAATAAAATTTGCTGTAAAGGCGTTAATTAAAAAACAGTAATTAGATACCCGTCCAAAAAACGACACTTTACGTACTATTAGTATTTTTCTGCATTTTTTCACAGAACTCTTCGGAATCTTGACTTTTCAACGGTCCGCGTGTGACTGTGTACTAAGAAGTGCTTGAGTGGAGTTCAAGCACTTCTTGATTGGGACACATTTTGAGCGCTCGTGGTGTATCTAGGGTATTTAATATTGTTAATTCTATGTCTTTATCTAGGTCATAAACTATGCGCATTTAATTTCATACAAATCCGTTTAACCGTTTTAGCGTGAAAGAGTAACAAATATCCATACAAATTTTCGCGTTTTTTTCAATTTCATTAGGATATGTTTGAAGTCAAATAAAAACTGTTGGTTGTATACTCATAACATCTATTATTGTATACGATGAAATAAATAGTTTATATTTATTTTTTCCATTTCCATAGCTGACAAACTTATCGATAAACTTACGGGTTGAGACATGAGCTGCGTCTGAGTCACTAGCAATACACGTGCCGGTGTGAGAGCGAGATAGCATATATGATGTAGCGCATGCGAGAAAGGGATAGTGTAAAAAGACATCAACGCGTTCACCAAAAAATAAATACAATTAACAGCAATTTAATATAACAGTATTTTTGTCTTTTTGTAATGCATTTAAACTAACCAGTGAAAAGTAATACCATTTTTTTGAGGACTGGAAGTTGTACTCGACTTTCCACACAATTTAATTGCACAGTACGGCATTTTTTACAGTTTTTTAACACGAAAACGAGAGAAGCAGTTCGACTAACGCTCGGTTACCGAATGAAACGATGTATCGCGACGTCTGTAGGCGTGCCTCATGCATAGGTAAAATACTACTTAAGCTTGGCGTAAGCGCTTGCCCTTGTATGCGGACTCTAGTGGGGGTGCTCCGTGCCATAGACTAACATTATTACGAAGTTAAATTACACAGATAAAATACATAGACAACCAACATAGAGCAAACTGCATTATGATACTGGCGCTAGTAGTATCAAAAATAGGATATTTGATATATTTTAACAGGCCTTACTTCATATTTTATGTTTATGTCTAAAATTTTTGTATGTCTGCGAGCAGGCTAAACGCAGGTACTTATCTATACAAAAAGACCTTTATAAACTGTGTGTGTGCAAATAAATATATGATATATATTAACATACCCAATTTCATATTTCCTTTCGATCGTTTCTGGGTCAATCTTAACACACTTTGCATTGCAGTCTCCACAGTCTTCTGTTTCAGCCGGAGCATCACCGGCGGCGGGGGGGTCGCCCGCTTCGGTGTGCGTTCGCCGATGGGAGACTAGATGACCTGTGGTTGACGTAGTACATTTAAATAGGGTGTAATAAGCACTTCGACACAACCGAAACTTACGTAATCTAAACATTAAAACACAAAAAAAAACAATTTGCTGGGTACGATTATTATTTGCTTATTTTTTAGTGTTCAAAATAAAATACACACAGTATCACGCAATGTACAGCGCGGAATAGCCAGTGACGCTCGGGGTGTACGGCACTGATTTGAAATTGAAACGCTAAAAGCAGCATTTGTGTGCTTGCGCTTACAGTCGAGATAATTTGAGTGCTGACTTTTAAAACCCATGTTTTGTTATGAAATGCTTGAAATTTTAATTACGTTTCTTTGGACCAAAATTAAGAAATAATACTGTTTAAATTTTTATTCCAGAAAAATAGCGAGAACGGACCAAGATCAAGATTCACCACGCAACTCCGGTGCCCATTGGTGGGTGCTAACGACTTAAAATACAGATAGGTCCCACGGTTGTGCCTTACGAAGCATTGAGAATCTCGATTCTATTTTATTTACACACGGCGTCTTTAGCTTTCTAAATTCACATTAGAATCGGGGGCGTATCGTATGTCCAAAGTGGTCATGTACCGGGGAGGCAGAATTTGTAAGGCATACTTAAGTTTATTTATTTTGAACTTGAGGTATTCTTACCTTTACATAAAAATTCTTTGGAGCAGACATCACATCGATAAGGTCGATTGCCGGCAGCCGCACCCGCCTTATTGTGTGACCGCTCGTGGAAGAGCAGGTTGCCTTTCAACGGAAAAGATTTGCCGCATTCGCCGCAACTGAAAGGCCTCTGGCCACAGGTGTGCGATCTGCACCAGGAAATATTTTTAGTGTATTAACCTTTGTTTATTTTGGGAAAAAGGGAATTATAATCCATGCGTTTAGATATCTCTGATATCCGTGACAAAGCTGAATTTTGTTTCTAAATTATATTCATAAATATTGTTCTATAAAAATTCAATTATATGAATTCAATTAAAAAAATGTAAGAGAACCTTTACTGTTCTGTTTTTAGTCTTGTGGTATGTACTTAAATATGCAAACAAAATATATTCAGTTGAAATTTCAATATTGACACAAGTCAACCAAATAAGAGCACAATTGTTTGTCATAAGAAAGTAAACTAACTTGTTTAGCTTACTATGACAAACTCATCATGGGTGGTGAATAAAGTTAAGGTGTATAACCATACATTCTGGCAAAACTCGTTTAGCAACCATAGACAGCGGAGCCTGCGCAGTAGTAATTTTACATACACGTCTACTGCGCAAGTTTAATAGTCTGCAGTTTAACTGAAGAAGTTTGAACCTATACCGGGCTGGTGACTTACATTCATACTCATAAATGTTTAATGTGACTTCAACTTTAGTCGAACTTAAAAGTTGATTGATTTCTATAAGTGCATCAACCAAAATACGATATGATACAGCGATTTATCGCCATTAACCGGCAAACTACAATGGAGTTAGTCAGTTGAGAGTAGATATAAAGCTTTGTGATATCAAATTGCCATGTTCATGCTACGGGGGCAGGAACCATTACCAAGTATTTAAAAGACATTGATAATAAAAAAAGTTTAATTTAAACATACTGACCTCATATGCGTGACCAAATGCTCCTTCCTAGTAAACGGTTTCGAACACACCCTGCAGGCATGCGGTGCGTCGCCGGTGTGCTGTTTGAAGTGGTTCGTGAGGTGTTCTTTGCGAGTGAATGTCTTCTGGCATAATTGGCAGCGGTGCGGGGATTCCCCTGTGTGTATCCTGGAGGGCCAAATTGTTTTAATAATAAACGTCGACTAAATAGAAATTGCTTCATTAAGGTACTCTTCAGAGTTAGGGTGCAATCGACTACTTTTCGTAATCTGATTAGGAGCTATCCATAAATTACGTGACACAATTTTTTTGACCCTTGTCATAACTGGTAAAATTTTTAACAATTTTAAATGTTACGTCACAATACTTATGAATCTTCACACACCTTATCGTCTGATATAATTAATTTATAGATGGCCCTCAATGATAACATTTAAAAGTAGTTAATTTCATGTACATAGTTAGATTAAATAGGACATACAAATAAAACAGTGACGTTGGGCCATAATGCACCACACAGATCCAGTATGGTTTGGTGTATAGCTATGCACTACACAATACATTATCACCAAATTCTACAATAAATAATAAGATGCGATAACTACCGACTTTCAAATGATTTAAAATATTACACAATAACAAAATAAGATATATAAAATAGTATATCAAAAGTAATACAATAAACGTGAAAGTATGAGTAGCCTAGATATAGAACTTTAATATGGATGATGACCAACTTCTTTTTTTTAGTCTATCAGGTAGTTGATCAAAATTTATTGCACACATATTTTTTCTCTATTCCGACAATCAAACTATTACAGAAATAATATTTTTGAAATGTCGCATGACGTTACAAGCTCACCCTGGTAAACCTTGTCGCGCTTTATCTTTGTCATTTCTTGATTGATGGACAAAAGAAAAAATAAGTTTCCATTGTTTTGTGATAATCTTACTGACGGACTAAATATAATTTCGTTTGATTTACCCCGTCATCATCCTTATTACGTTTTCATGCAACTTATCATCAAACAGCAAATTAACCCACCCTGACTAATAAATATGTCCTACCTCTCTCAAAAACCAACCATACCCTAGCCCACATAAATTTTGCTTTTAATTATTGAAGGCTTTTTGACAGTGTGGAAAATAAAGTACAAATTGTTGGCATGTGTATAAACAAATTGCTAATTATGATTTTATTTATTTTTAAAGCATTTAACTGCTAGATGTTTAAATCTAAAGAAAAGTTTACTAGAAAAAAATCCACGCGGACCAGGCAGCGGACGGGACTCGAACCCGCATCCTTCCTTCGCTATCCGGGCGAATGCACTGACCATTATGCTACCACGGCCCTATTAGCTTAAACTTTTCTTTAGATTTAAACATCTAGCAGTTAAATGCTTTAAAAATAAATAAAATCATAACTATAATTGCTATTTCTTCTTTCAAAATTTTTAATACTTGAAAAAGTATTCATTTGACATTGTGGGTTACCTACAATGCGAAGAGATGGCGCTGCCTTGCAGCTTAATGCTAGGAAAATTTCGACGCGGCTAATAGGGCCGTGGTAGCATAATGGTCAGTGCATTCGCCCGGATAGCGAAGGATGCGGGTTCGAGTCCCGTCCGCTGCCTGGTCCGCGTGGATTTTTTTCTAGTAAACTTTTCTTTCGATTTAAATTGCTAATTAATTAAAAAAAAACATGAATTGAATAAAATTTTTGGTCTACTGTCACGTGACCAAACTAATCCTAGGATTAGCCAATCTAAAATGACATACATGTTTGTGAGACGCCATCTTAATGCAGATCAACGTTTCAGTTTAAGTTTTTCAAAAACTTGTCAAGCACTCAACAAATATGTAAACTAATTGTCCCAAACTCCCATGCGTTGTTTACTAACCTGACATGGTTGGTCAAATGCTCCTTCCTGGAGAAGGTCTTAGTGCAGAAGGCGCACTTATGCGGCGTCTCGCCCGTGTGGAGGTGCACGTGGTTCGTGAGGTGTTCCTTGCGAGAGAACGACTTCGCGCAGTACGTACACTTGAACGGCGTCTCGCCTGTGTGTTGCCTGTTACAATACATTCCGATTAGCCCACGGCTAGGTTTTGTCTTCAGCTTTGTCTACCGATTTCATGTCCAAACGATAAATTTTAATCAATAATTCGCATAATTTTAGATCAAGCTGTGTCATTAGACGTAAATAGAGGCTTCTCGCGAAGGACGTGGATAAAAACTACATTAGATGCAGACGAAACTTCTCACATTCTTTAAACGTTCGTAGTCAAGAGTTTATCTCCGGTTTTGCATCTCAAATTCATGTGTGCATCGTACGTTATGAAGTAAATAAAATCAGCCCCCGTAAAATTATTTGCGTCTAGTTCCAATCGGAATGTAGTGTACTGAGCAAATCCTATTCCAGATTGAAACTTATTTAGATAGTTGAATATTTAAAACAAAACAAATCATGCTTTCCTTTTAGATAATAATTTTATAGGATGTTATTTGCATGTTTATGGTTATTTATTTTATACCTTGAGCAGAGTATATTATAACAGAAGATAAAATGTTTGTTAGCTTTGTTAAAAGAGTTCCATCTTTAGACTAATATAAAATATTTATAAAGCATTTTATCAAAAAATCTTTTCGTTTTCCTTTTATCGAAGATATACTGAAAACTTCGATTTACAATAAATAATTAAAACAAAGAGTATTTTTTTAAATCGACTTATTGAACAAAGGACTTTGTAAAAAAGGTGCTTTTTCTACTCTTTATAGGATTTACCTGATATGGTTAACGAGATGCTCTTTCCTGTTGAACGTCTTGGGGCAGTAAGTGCAGCTGAAGGGCATGTCTCCGGTGTGTTGGCGCACGTGGTTAGTGAGGTGCTCCTTGCGCGAGAACGCGCGCGGGCAGTACGTACATTTGTGCGGCGTTTCTCCCGTATGTTGTCTGCACAGAGTACATTCCGATTTCTCACGTAAACCACTAATAATATCAACATTACGCGAGTCGTAAAGCCAACTTTTTTGTACCGCTATTTCGTGGGAAGTGGATGGGATTAGTGCGTAGGGGCAATTAATCAGCAAGCTAAAATCGGAATGCACAATGCTGTGCTACTTATTCGTCAAAATGATAAGGGAAACGTCACACAAATGCCGTCTGATTTCATTTTTATTTAACACTTATCCCGGTGTATGAATATTTTTTATAGATTAATGTTCCTAGAAATCTTACCTTGCTAGGTATTTTAGTGTAGGGTGTCATGCGAAACATGCGGGTCTGTATATTGGGGACATGCTTCCGTGATTCTAATATTAATTAAACTACAACAGACGGGCAATCATTTAATTCATAACTACACCAATGTTGCATGTAGCACAGCATTGTATATTGCACTATTAATTATATTTTATAATAATTTATCATATTGAAAGATACTTTCTGGTGTCATTAGTTTTAATAATGGGTAATAATTTTATAATGTAAATCAGTTAAACACGTATCCTAATAATAATATTAGAGATGTATGGACTGTCTAGAAAAAATCCAATTCGGTTTCAGACAGGATGAAACCTAGAATGACTGGATTTCTTCTAGTAAATACTTGCTTTAGAAATTAAAAGTGTAGCAGTTAAATGCTTTTAAATATAATATAACTGGGCTCATTAGTCGCTATAGTGAATTACTTATCCATGACTGTTATTAATGATAGTGTGTCCACCTATAGGTAACCGCGCACCTTGTACCCCGCAGGAGAGGTCTCAGTTAAGCGGTTTACCTATACATAATTATAATTTAATATTTCCGTTTAGGAAACGAGTGCTTGGGCCAGATTGAACGTTTAAAGAAAATGTTAACGTCATGCAATTATTAAACACGATACCAAACTGCTGTTTTACATGCTACTGTTTTATATTCATATATTTTTATTTCTTTATTTCATCTCTTATGGCTCCTACACACAATGCCGGGCGCACTGCGGCTTAAAAGCCGTCGGCTTTGCTGCATAAAGGAACCGCCTGCGTTGCTAGCGGGACATAAATACTGGAATGATTATGCTCAACGACTTTGTGCAAGTTGCTGCGGCAAGTGCCGCTCGGCATCGTCATCGAACACAGCACATCAATAACAGTCTTTGAGAATGTCCGATATGTAGGCTTTCCCAACAGTTTCAATGGAGAAGGAAACATAAAGCTCATTACAGATGGCATTGGATACGTCAGAACTATAACAAGCAACCAAAACTTAGTTTGGTTTATTGTGAAATTATGTAAAATTATCTTTTCTTAAAAGGGTCATCATCAGCCTATTAATGTCCTCACTGCTGGGGCACAGGCTTTCCCTATGGATGGAATAGGGATATTGGGCCATGACCCACCACGCGGGCCCAGTGCGGATTGGTGGGTGCTAACGACTGCAGATGCAGCCGGGACCAACGGCTTAACGTGCCTTCCGAAGCACGGAGGAGCTCGAGATAGTAATTTTTGGTCACCCATCCAATGACCGACCACTGCGAAAGTTGCTTAAGTTCAACGATCGCAGCCGAACGCGCTAACCACTTGCGCCGTCGAGCTCCTCCTTAAAAGGGTAGCAATTGGAAATAAGAACAAGTGTTATAAGGGCTTGAGGAGAACGCCAAAGGTTAGTAGCGACTTGGGCTAAAAACAAGTTTATCATCCTTGTATACTAACATATTTCAAAATTGCTTAAATTTGAAACAAAGTAACATGTTTCAATTAAGTTTTAATGTATTTGACGTGATAACGGCTGCACGCACGAAAAGTATGACGTCATGTCACGAGTTAGTTCACTGTTCCGTGAGGGGTTCTTTCGACCCCCACGTCTCTCCCCTAACACCACCATCCCTTTACCTATAGCTTTCTTAATCGCTTATCATTAAGAAAGTAATTACCATTTTATTAACCAAACAACGCAGCATTCGCCGATAAAATAATACGAATATAAATCGAAATCACTAACAGACGTGATTTCTTTTGAGTCCGACGACATCAGCGCCTCTCGCGGCGAATATTATAAATTGTCTTCCAACTACAATAACTTGAAAATTTTCCCATATCAACAAAAGACACCAAAAAGTATAGCAATGTTTACAACTTAGATATAGAGAGAATGGACTGAGTAATCCTTAGCCAACTCCTTAGTCTAAGGATGGGCAAACTACGGTCCGCAGTCCTTCTCCGGCCCTCGAATGGTTTAAATCCGGCCCGCAGAAACAAAAATCAAAGTACCCACCAAAAAGTACAATTTTGTCACAAGTACAACATAGTTAGTCCGGAGCGTATCTAATCTGCTGCTGGGCTGCAGGCTGTGCGAGGGGCGACGTTATGAGGTATTATTTGATTTGATTTATTAATTTTAGAGGGGTGCAGATCAAAAACATGGCCCGTCTTAGATTTCTGATCAACACTTTCACTCTATTCTGCCTGTTGCCAGCACGATATCGCTTTCTCTGCTTCTAGAGAGTAATCAATTTCATGTAGGTATTACTCTGTCCATTCTAAATTACCCAGTTTAAACTGTCAATTGAGTTGCTGAAAGCCTAATCAAATCACTGGTTTTAATTGACAAAGCTGTCAAATTTAGTTCAAAATTGTAGCAGCATTTTGGGTGTTTTAGCTATCCTTTATCTTATTTATAGTGATTTGGCAAACCTTTCAGAAATTTGGCGTTATGCTATGTAAAACTACCACAGGGTACACCCACCAGAGACCGCATACAAGGGCATCCGCTTGTTCCAAGCATAGGTATGTAGTATTACAAATACAAATTTTGTCACCTGACAAATATTTACAACAAATTTTTCAACCGACCGTGAAGTTACACTGATTCGTCGAATCAAAACTTTGGTGATTTTGATTTCAAATAAATCGCACATTGATAAAAAGAGTGACACTAACCAAAAAAGCATTTTTTTCAGTAGAAGCATTTAAAGTTTTACCAAACAGGTAATTACGACTTTTGCAATCGTGTTTAATGCTCTCTGCAATAGAAATCATAACATGATATTGATTTTTTATTCTTTCTGGTGCAAAAGTCATAATTACTGTTTGGTAAAACTTTAAATGCTTCTACTGAAAAAATAGTTTTTTTGGTTAGTCACTCTTCTTATCAATGTGCAAAATATTGTAGTAATGCACGATTCTTACTTACCGGCGCGCGTCGGAGCGGAGCCCAGCGCATTTTACAATTTGCTGAAGGAAAAGACGTCGACGTCACATTTTACCGCTTTGGATGTGTCTCTCGCGTGAACTATTCAGTTTAGAAAAAAAAATCAAAAACTCGATATGAATTTTGAAGACCTATCCATAGATACGTAAGGATTTGATGAAAAAAATATTTGTTTCTTAGGTTTTCATGCACATCACTCATTAAATAAAACTAGTTTTTACGGGTTAATGCACGAAACTTTATTTATTTATTGACGTTTCGCAGCCTTTTCAGGTCTGCATCGTCAGAATAATGTTTGCATGCATTATTCTGGCGGACTTAAGCGCTTAATCTATTTTTTCGATGGCGCAAGGCTCTTTCAATAATTTTACAATAAAAATTATTTAAATAGAATTTCGACAATTATGTATCGTCTCGAGAGGTATCGGGGACCCGACAATTAAATTTCTAAATTTACAAAGAGTCTCGGACGCTCGAGACACGAGACGACCCAAACCCTAGTTCGGACTCTGCTACAGCCGCCGTCGATTCCGCACGTAAATAAGGAAGTTAACTATTTTCTGGATGTTTCAATTTCCTTCAGCAAATTGTAAAATGTGCTGCGCAGCGCTCCGACGCACGCCAGTAAGTGAGAAACGCACATTACTCAATTTTTGTTCGAAATCACCTATTTAGACGCATGCGTAGAAATCGAATCATTTTAAAATTACGGTCCGATGAGAATCGTGCATTATGCGAACTCTCTAGTGGGGGTGTGGTGCATAGAGGTATAAGAATAGAGTGGGAAAGGCGGCTCTAAAAGTGTCCGTCTAGTAGAAAGAGAAAGAAGATGAGAGACCGCTAGCTATCTCTCTCTCTCTTGTGACGCAGGCATCCAATGGCATCACATCGAAAGAGTAAGATACTTACGGTTGCCAATGCACATGCGCGATTAGAGAGAGAAAGCTAGTGGTCTCTCATCTTCTTTCTCTTTCTATTAGAGGGACATTTCCACTTGTAGTAGAGTCTATATCTCCTCTACTCTATTTTTATACCTGAGTGAGACCAGGTACTACGTACACACCTGATATGGTTGGTGAGGTGCTCCTTCCTGGTGAAGGACTTGGCGCAGTAGCTGCAGCGGTGCGGCGACTCGCCCGTGTGCTGGCGCACGTGGTTGGTGAGGTGCTCCTTGCGCGTGAACGACTTGGTGCAGAACGAGCACTTGTGCGGTGACTCGCCCGTGTGCTGCCGCACGTGGTTCACTGCGAGACCGCGTATTACGTGAGCAAATAAATAGAAGTTTATGCGACTGTCATAGAGTCTGATTATCGATAATAGGTTAACTCGAGTGTACACACATTAACACCTAAATTATATGCAGTTGCATACACTTAAACAAAGTAACTGGGTAACAAAACAAAGAGTCACTGAAGACTCGGACAACAAATATTCGGATAGCATCCGAGCTAACACGTAATAGGGGTGATGACGGGGTACAGTAAACGAAATTCTATTTAGTCCGTCAGTTAGATGATCAAAAAATAATGGACACGTATTTTTTCTTTGGGCAATCAACCAAAAAATGACAAAGTTATAGCGCGTCAAATTTTGGGAGTAGGGGCTCGTGACGTCACTTTTGAGTGAATTTTCACTTATAAGTGTACTCAAACGTGACGTCATGCGACTTTTCAAATCAATATATCTCTGCAATGTTTATATTATGTTAAAAAAGAAAAAATACGTGTCTAATACTTTTTGATAATCTACCTGATAAACGAAGAAAAAAAATAGGCATCATCCCTATTGTGAGTGACGATGCTGGTTACTTTACAAAGAAATTTTAAAGGCATATTTAGAGGTTATTTTTATCACGCAATTTTCTGAGTTGCTCCTGCCCCTTTAGCATGACCACCGAAACGGGATATGATTTATCATATCCCGTTTTGGTGGTCATGCTAGAGGGGCTGGGCGTGAAAGACTTGCTGGCACTTTTGTTGTGCCTGTGTGTGTGCTGCAGCCCGTTGTACAACAGATGCGCTTTACGGGTAAATGTCTTGGAGCAAAAGTCGCAACATTAATACGCTTGTCTTACATGACGTCGAATCCAGCAAATAGGTCGCAGCACGAGTATACCTTCGCCATAACAGTACTGCAAAAACTAAACTAACTCACTATGATGGTCTTACAGTACCCGCACAGGAAGGGCATCTCGCCAGTGTGTTAGCGCACGTGATTGACGAGGTGCTCATGCCTCGTGCCGCGTGAACGACATCATAACAATACTATAAAACTATATAATTAACAAAAGAACTCACCGAGATGGTCTTTCCTCGTAAACGCCTTGGGACAGTATCCGCACTGGAAGGGAGTCTCGCCGGTGTGCTGACGCACGTGATTGACGAGATGCTCTCGCCTCGTGAACGACTTCGAGCAGAAGTTGCATCGGTGCGGCGACTCGCCAGTATGCTGACGGACGTGGTTCAACAGATGCTCTTTACGGGTGAATGTCTTCGAGCAGAAGTCGCAACGGTGCGGAGTTTCGCCTGTAAAGAACTTTCTTATGATACTTTTGTTCTCATTTCAGTTCATTTTAGTAGTATAAGGTGGTAGGGGCGATTGAAGTAATTACAAAGATGTGAAATATTTTAGACAAAATAAATAACCATATAAAAGTAAAAAACAACTTTTTTATTATAATTGAGAGAATTAATGCTAAAGCATATTGGAGAAAGGAATGATTGATCACTAAAAGGGGTACAAACAGAAAAGGTTTAAATAAAAGCCCTGTTACTTAAATATAGAAATACACACATTTGTACTCCAAGCCTGGCATAACCAATAACATAACAATGGGTTGCTTGTTAAAATGTAGGTTATTTAACAAAATCTATACTAACCCGTATGCCACATAATGTGATTGGTGAAGTGTTCCTTTCTGGTGAACGACTTGCCGCACAAATCGCATCGGAACGGCGTATCATTAGTATGCGACCTCATATGGTTCGTTAAATGCTCCTTCCTAGTATACTTCTTGCCGCATATTTGACAATGGTGCGGTGTTTCACCTAATGGGGTGGGCAGAAAATAAAACGTTAACATTCAATGATGCAACTATATTTACTGATTATATCGTCAACGAATAGAGAATCTCCCAGAATTTTATGTTGTGAGGAAACACGAGTGTTAGTTATTTTTAGTACACGATTCGGGAGGCCTTTTGCCCGTATTCATGACCGATTGTATTGCTGTTAAATCTAGTTTATCGCAAATAGTTGAATCATTCAATATTATTATTTTCTGCACCACTTGCTACAAGTCAACCCTCGTTACTTGGTGCAGGCTTGGGTATACCGTGGTAAAATAAATATAACAGAAATACAAAAGTTATGTCAAACATATTATTTGATTAGAAATATTTAATAAAAACATGGTAAAATCTAAAGATAATAATATATGAATTAACATGAAACAACATACATTATAAGCCAAAGTTAAATAAAATATGTAGCATGCAAGGTATTAAATGATAAAGGTACTCTGAAAATTGCATCACACTTATAATAGGCATAAGGCTTTCCAGCAAGAATATTGTTTGTATCTTTGTTGAAATTTAATAAGAAACATTGAGCATGTATGGACTAGGAACTAATACAAAAATATGCAGTGAAGCAAATATTCTAATACTTCATCCTAAGCGATTCTACAGCTTTGTTGTTTAAAAACAGCACGTACAGTGAGTTATGTGCTATTCTAACGATATTTCTCTCAATGTAGCATAGTATTCTCAATTTCGCTTATCACAGTTGGAATATCTCGAATATTGAATTCATTTCACCGCTGTGAAAATATTCTCCCGATTTTATGTCGATATTCCTAAATTAGTCTAGTAATAAAGGACATTTGTTTTCTACTCATTTATTCTGATACCCTAATGTGATACTACTTTTCTTTCTTCGTTAGTTTTTATTTAAGGTCAGGCTTTTCAATCTGTAGTTAACTCATCTGATAATTATTCACTACAAATCAAATGGAATCATAATATTCCTCAAAAAGATATGCCTAGTTCTTTCAAGTGCCTATAAATAAGGTGAACAACGCATGAACCGCGAACTGTGGCGGATGGCGGTCGCGCATATGTTTTTAGGGTTCCGTACCTCAAAAGGAAAAAACGGAACCCTTATAGACTTTGTTGTCCGTCCTTCCGTCTGTCAAGACCGTTTTTCTCAGAAACGCATGGAGGTATCAAACTGAAATTCATATCTAAGACTCAGGTCTCACAGTTCCAAGGGACAGTCCCTTGGAACTGTGTAAAAATCAAACTTCTAAGCCAAAGCAATCAAAAGATACAGCCGTTTATGCAGCAAATTTTCGAAACTCGCACGGGAACCAAAACCAAAAAAAAAAAAAACCTCAAAATTTCAAGATTCTTAGTTCACGGGAAGTATCCTGTAATACTTCCCGTGAACTAAGAATCTTGAAATTTGGTACGAAGTAACGTCTTATAATACAGATAAAGGAAAAATTGCGAAAACCGTAAATTTTTAGTAGCATTATATAATTAAAAATATTAAATTCAGGTTTGTACGGAACCGTCGGTGCACGAGTCCGACTCGCACTTGGCCGGTTTTTTTTGGATAGGCATATAGGTACGACAACGTACTGGCATCCGCGTAACGCCTATACAAATAAACAACATCTGCGCGACCGCCATCCACCGCGATTCGGGGGCTCGTGCGTTGTTCATCTAACTCTGCCTTATCTGATGTCCATTTAGTGTGAGTGTAGTCTAGTTGCAAAGTAAGGCAAAAGATAAGAAAATAGACATGCTCTAATTTGAAAGGAAAATTTGCTCGGTCCAAATCTTTTGGTAATAAGGGAACAATTTTTTTCATGTAATATTGGAGAACCTACCCTTAGTGTTGTTATCCGCTATGTATGCCATAAATATTTTTTATCTAACCCCATGCTTTAAAACCTCTATTAAAGATTCTGAAACAGTTTGCTTATTGCCAACACTAAAACATCCAATACCATAATAAAAAAAAAAGTTATAACACCCGTTTGGGTGTTATAATGGTTTTCGCTTTTTAAATCCGTTCCGCGTGTCGCGGGCGCCTTACTTATCAGACAGCCACAATTTTCACTCGAGGCGTGGTATTATGAATTTCAAAAAGGACATTGTCATTCGCGTTTCACTACTACAGAGGCGAAACTTTCAATGATTTTTAAGTACTTTGAACGCACCATTCTTTCAGAATCTTTTATAGAGGATTCATATCATGGGTGTAGATAAAGTGTTGTATGCAACTGTTATAATTAGGCATTCAAACACGAACGTGGGTTTATCACACGAGGCGAAGCAGACTGTGATAATAGCAACACTGAGTGTTGATATACAACAGTAGCATAAATTACTAACCTAATAAGTAGCGATGTATCGGTAAGAATACTGTTTAAGCTTAAGACAAACTTAATTATTTGCCGATTATGAATTTTAAATAGGCGGACAGCTGTATTTAAAGGAAGTAACGAAATCTTAAAATCTAAAACAAAGATGTCAGCCACAAGTGATGCTGCGAGAAATGTCTGGAGAAAATAGTAGTTTTCGAATACTTCCGAAAGTACTATAGTGTATATTTTCTTTAGATTTAAACATCAAGCAGTTACATGCTTTAAAAATAATAAAAATTATAACTACTATAGTGTAGTTTTATTATAGTGTATATTAATGCGTTATTTGAGTTTGAGAGTTTCATTTTATCAACTACCAATTTGCATTTATGCAAATTCCATTTGATATGAATGAAATACACAATTTTAGAAAATGCTTATGTTAAGTACAAAGATTTAATACTGGGCTTTTGGGGACTGTAAATTTAGTCGGCGTAATACTCGGGAACTTAACCTTAAAAACTACTCAAATGATATCTCAGTTACCCACCAGTGTGCCACATGACATGGTTCATGAAATGCTCTTTCCTAGTGAAGCTCTTTTTGCATAGCTCGCAGCGATGCGGCGTTTCACCCGTATGCTTGCGTACGTGATTCACCATGTGCTCTTTCCGAGTGAAAGTCTTCGCGCAGAACTCACACCTGTTTTTAAATTCAGAATTTAGAGAAATGAGCCCTTATTTTATTATCTCCAATAGAAAATTAAAAGAAAGTTTACTTGTGGAAAGGAAAAGAAAGTTAACTAAGAAAGGAAATCTCCAAGTAAGAAAGTGTCATTCAGAGATTCAGTATCTCTATGGGAAAATCTAAAGGATGGTTAGTGGTAGAAAAGGAAAGAAAGTTAACCTAGGAGATTTTGAGGTCAGCAAGGTTCATTCGGTATTATTTCATCAATATTATTTTTTAATAGCAGAATAAGTAATTTAGTTAAACGTAAAGACCCTACTGTTCCTACAAATAAAGATTAAAACGGAGACATCTTTAGGGCAGTAATTATAGTGTCAAGTAGGGCCAGATTTGAGGAAGGGTAGGCCCACAGCATAGATAAAAAAAATCGACAAGTTACGCTAATCTTAAGGGACCCAGCTCCTCTAGCATGACCACCGAAACGGGATATGATAAAGCGATATATCGGCATTTACTGTCAGACTACTGTCAAACTCCACTTTAGTCTGACAGTTAATGCCGAAACCGAAACGGGATATGATAAAGCGATAAATCGGCATTAACTGTCAGACTACTGTCAAACTCCACTGTAGTCTGACAGTTAATGCCCATATATCGCTTTATCATATCCCGTTTCGGTGGTCATGCTAGAGGGGCTGGCCTTAAATGTGTGCTTATAGACTACATACCTGTACGGCGTTTCTCCAGTGTGACTGCGAACGTGGTTGTCTAGATGTTCCTTACGAGAGAACGTCTTGTGGCACGTAGTGCAGGCATAAGGTTTATCTTGTGTCATTCGCTTGGTGTGTCTTTCAGCCGGATCACCAGCTAGTAAAATAACATTTTTATTTATTAAATTACGTATATTTGATTAAAACTGTTATTTACAAAAAATATTATCTTAGTACACAGGTAAGCTGGTATAACTTCGGCATTTGTTATGATAGCACACAGGAATACTTAGCACATTCTTAGGATTGTGGAGAATGTTAAACAATGCACAAGTAACTGACTACTGGTAGAATAATAAAGAAATAATAAAACGAAGGCACTTCTACATAGTAAGCGTGAATTACGAATGAAGTGAAATTTCTTAAATATATTATATTATAAATTTCTTAAATATAATCACACTAATAATATAAAATCGAAAGTTTGTGATTGTGTATGTTTGTTACTTCTTCACGTCTAAACGGCTGGAGCGATTTTAATAAAATTTGGTATGGAATTAGCTGACACCCACCCTAAATATCCCTAATAAACCGCGGGACACAGCTAGTATATTGTAAACTTCACGAGTTTGATTCTCCGTTCTAGCAGGCGATTTAAAAATTAATCAGTGAATGCAGTTCTAGTTATTATTAAAACTAAAATGATGTCTTCTTTCAGTAAAATATCCTATCTTCAATATTTAATATACTTTCACTGCGTGTGGCAAACCCGTGGGACAGCCTGTATATTGTGGATAACGATTTTTAATAAACACTTACCAAGGTGACACTTCCCATGTTTTGACAATTCAACCAGATTAGCAAAAGCTGAACCGCACACTTGACATGTGAATGGTTTGCTCTCACCATGGTATCGTCTGTTTTGAAAAGAAAACGCATTATTAAAATTGGTTTAATCATTTAACTGACAGCTATTTACGAAAATTTTACTAGAAAAAAATCACTCGGTCCAGGTTTCAGATGGAATTCGAACTTGCATCTTCTGCTATATGGGCGGACACACTAACCAATTATGCTACAGACTTAAATGGCCGTGTCGAATTTCCTCTAGTGTTTCTTAGGCTGCAACTGCAAGGCGGTGTTAGCTCTTTGCATCGTATTTAAACAGTAATCCACAATTTCAAACGAAATATCTTTAAAAGACATCAACATCTAGCAGTTAAATGCTCAAAATAAAAAAATATAATATAAGCCCTTTACGATTTATTGATTAAAGAAAATTTACCTATGAACAATAAGCTGATAACGGAACTGGAATATCTTTCCACAAATGTCACATGAATGGTGACCAGGCGGTGATTCTGCTTCAGCCATAGCAGTGCTTGTCCCTGCCTCCACATCTACCTCCACTGGCTAAAAATAAAACAAGGATGAATAAATAATAAGTTTCACGTGATTGAAAATGGGTATTTTTATTATTTAAATGACTTTATTCTACCTTTGCTTGTTGTTGTCCTTCAGCGTTAAGTTTCCCAAACACTTCATGGTAAGCCAACAGCTGTGATAAATCTTCTACATTAACTTTATACATGGCGTGAAGATCGTGCTCTGAAGCACCAGATATTTTCACAACGGCCCCTTCCATTCCCATTGCTCCTACACTCTATATGAAGAAATAAATACAAATTGTTTCATTGAAGTTTTACAATAGAGATATATAATAAACTGCTATTATATCATATTGTAAGGGTACAATAGATAATATTCATCTGCATGCTATAAGATTATGAGAAGTGATTTTCGTAAGAACTAATCCTTAGTATAATATTCGTTTTATAAAATTATCAAAAATATCTTATGAGTTTTTGTTTTACATGGAACAAGTTATTTGAAACGGCTGAACCACAAATTGCCAAGATTAACAGTACTACCTTTAAATCTATGCCCTTGATGTCTTTGATTTCGGCATATTGTGTAGTCTCGAGTTTGGAAGAGTTTTTCTCATCTTTGACGATAAGTTGATCACCAGGGCTGGCTTCTATGGACGTGGTGCCATCGGGATTGTGCGTCACGAGGATATTTGCGGGCTCACCCGTCGCCTGTTCTATACGAACAACGCTGTCTATGACCTAAGAACGAAAAACAGTTACATTATCCGGGCAGGCTGATGGTGTCGATTCTGACATGATTCCCCAAACTGAAAACTATTATCTAAATTTAACACCAGTCTCTCCTTTTCATTCTATATAGAAAATTACTAAGATACAGTGTAGTCGGTTAAGAAAATCATGCCAGAATCGACACCATTGGCTCTGTAAATTAAAACACGGATTATCGAGTCACATATTCTAGATTTTTTTAAAGGTTTTGTAGATATAAAAGAAGTTGGTATTGGTCTTCTTTAATCGTAGACAAGGAAGGGCACAAAACGCTTACGCTGCGGCCACAATGGTGAAGATGTGCGTTGTCGCGGCCAGTTTGGTCAAGCTATACATCCCCTCGGCATCTTGATAGTTCATCACGATAAAAATTGCATCGCGTTGTTGCTGTAGGTTACTTAGGCTATGGGACGAACGGCTTAACGTTCATTCTGAAGCATGAGCTCGAGATAGTAAATTTTTGGTCTATCATCCAATGACCAACCACTGCGAAAGTTCCTTAACTTCTTCTTCTTCAACTATCACAGCCAAACACGCTAACCCTTTGCGCCATCGAATTCCTCACAGCTAGCATCCTACTAATATTATAAATGTAATTTATTTTTTTTATTTTTTATTTTTATGCAAAATAGGCAATGCGTTTGACTACAATCTCACCTGATGGAAAGCGATGATGAGGCTTAGGATGGTACGCGCCTGCCTAGAAGATGCCTGTTCACTCTGGCCTTGAAGATGTCCAGGTTATATTGGTCCGGGAAAACAGACCTCGGCAAGGAGTTCCACTCCCTAGCCGTTCGTATAATGAAGGCCGAAGCAAATCGCTTCGTGCGAATAGGAGGAACTTCGACAACATAAGGGTGGAAGCCCTCGCCGCGCCTGGTCGTCCGGTGGTGGAAAGGGGAAGGGGGGATCAAATTATGTAATACCTCCGCACACTCTCCGAAATGTAACCGATAAAACACCGAAAGGCAAGCTACACGTCTTCGGTGGTGGAGGCTCTGAAGATTAGCCTCAACGAGAGCGTCATTGCCTATGAGTCTCTTCGCACGGTGTTCCACCGAGTCCAGTGCATCCAGCTGATACCGAGCAGATCCGTCCCAAAGGTGACAACAGTACTCCAAGCAGGAGCGAACTTGGGCTCGGTAAAGGTTAAGGAGCTGCTCAGATGTAAAATATCGCCTGACCTTAGAAAGTATTCAAAGTTTTCTGGCAGCGGTTTTAGCAATGGACTCGATGTAGGGACCGAAATTGAGGCTGGATGAGATGTCCATACCCAAGAGCTCGAGATGGTCTTTAACCGGCACGGAGACATTTCGGAAAGTCGGAGTTAGATGGAATGGACTCCGTTTCGTCGAGAAGAGACAGGCCTGTGTTTTAGAGGGATTGAATCCAACCAAGTTGGCTTCACCCCAGAGGGAAACAGCTTCCAGGGTTGCATTCACTCCCTCCACCATCGCCTCCCTTAATGATCGGACATCTGCATCAGACTTCACATCAGGCAGATATCTCCCCGAAACTGTGCTGTCATCTGCATACCCAAAGATACCAGGAGTTAGGAGCAGATCATTGATGTGCAGCAAGAATAGAGTTGCGGAGAGGACAGATCCCTGGGGGACACCGGCATTAATACCAAGCAGATCCGACGATGTGCCATTAATGACCACTCGTATCGATCTGCCCCTCAGAAAATCTGCAATCCAGTTGCAAAGTCCGACAGCGATTCCATATGAAGGAAGCTTGCCAATGAGACTTGCATGCCAGACCCTGTCAAAAGCCTTAGAAATATCAAGAGAAACGGCGAGAGCTTCGCCGCGTTTCTCTATGGCTTCACTCCATAAGTGGGTAGCATACACAAGAAGATCCCCAGTAGATCGCCCACGGCGGAAACCGAATTGGCAGTCACTGAGGAGATCGTTATCTTCGAGGTAAGCGAGGAGACGGTTGTTCAATACACGCTCCATAATCTTACAGAGTATGGAGGTGATTGCAATAGGTCGATAGTTGGCAGGGTCGGCACGACTACCCTTTTTGGGCACTGGCTGGACATTGGCAAGCTTCCAGGTTTTCGGAACTTGGCCAATCTCAAGGGATAAGCGATATAGGCGAGTCAGAATAGGAGACAACTCAGGGGCACAATTCCGCAGGACAATAGCTGGAATGCCATCGGGCCCACTGGCTTTATTCACGTCTAGAGTGCTTAGCGTTTTTAGTACCTCTTTCTGATGGATGCGAACTTCCAACATGGCAGAAGAACACTGAGGAAGCTTAGGTGGGTTTACGCCAGCAGCATCTAGCTGTGAGTTATTCGCAAATATAGAGGCAAACAAGTCAGCCTTCTCTTTGGAGGTGTGAGCCAGCGATCCGTCAGGTTTAATTAAAGGCGGCAGCGACGACCGGCAAAAATTGGCTTCGACTGTTTTGGCTAGGGACCAGAAAGCCTTGCTTCCGGATGGAAAGGAGGCTAATTTGGCTCCTATACGGCCAATGTGATCGAAGCGGGCCTTGCGGAGAACACCTTTACAGGACTTGGCGGCACTGTTAAAGGCCTTCTTCAGACTTCGAACATTTGGTGATTTGCGGGCTCGAGCATCCGCCCAGGAGCGATACGCAAAATGCTTAAGCGCTTCTGCTTTAGCACAGTCCGCGTCAAACCAAGGGCGGGCGCTAAACCGGCGTGGTACGTCAGAATATGGAATAAAGTACTCCATAGCCTGACGCACCACGTCAGCAATGGCATCCGCGCAGCAAGTCGGGTCGTCCGAAGAAAAGCAGGTGCGACGCCAAGGATAAGATGCAAAGAAATGCCGCATCTCATCCCAGTCTGCTGAACCATATCGCCAAACACGCCTAGTTCCGATAGGTTCCGGGTCGCTTGGAGAGTAGACTGATACGGACTTCACCAGACAGTGGTCGGAACTCCCTAGAGGAGACGAAATTACCACCTGGTAACGGTCCGGGTCTGTTGACAGCAGAAGGTCCAGGCAGTTTGGTGTGTGGCTATCAATATCGGGTACACGTGTAGCGCCCTTCACAAGCTGGGAGAGACCTAGCGACATAGCAAATGTGTGCGCTAATCTCCCGGCATGGTCGGTTTTCTGGAACGGGAACAACCACTCATGGTGGTGTGCGTTAAAGTCCCCCAGAACGACTAGCTGCGCACTAAAAGTTTGCATGTTTGTGTGTTTCTATGGTTGTTACTCAATTACGCAAAAACTACTGAACGGATTTGACATTGAGACAAAGGATACTTATTAGTCTGGAAAAATGTTACTTTCCTGTGGGATTTACAAAAAACCAAAGTTAACGCGGACGACTCATAAATTTTCAAGGTAAACTTTTGAATAGCTGGAAAAGGCACGTTATTCTATAAAATACCTGTTGCCCCACGATCTGCTGCAATTGATGCACGGTGAGCGTATGATCCGTGGGCATCTTGATAGCTTCGTGCAATTCCTCCTTGTCTACCAACTTGCCGCCCGGCTCTACTACGGTCACGATGCCATCCTCGCTCACTGTCAACTGGATCTGGTGGTGAGAGTTTCATTATTGATATTGAAAAACAAAATTAAACTATTTGATAAAGTATCATGCAAAAATTAGATAATATTGAAATACTGTTAAAAAAGTTGTTGTTGGAATTTGTATCTATTATACTTAATAAAAAAAAACAGATATATTTGATAGATGATTTAGACTGAAAACATAAACACTTGAAGTATTGATTTAATATCATACAAAAGTAATAATGATGAGTAGGTATACTAAAATAATTTTATATAATAAAATCTACTTGATATCTATGAGAAAATCTGCTCAATGTGTGCTTGCTCTATATCTCGACAGACTACAACAGTAATTTGTAATTACGTTAACATTGGATTGAATTTTATGCTTTATAGTAACAAATATATTGAATGCAAAAGGTGTCTTTTATAAATAGATAAGCCATTGAGGAGCAATATCAAATACTATAAGCCATGAATGATTCAATCAGTGGTCAGTGGATTAAACTCCTTAAACTATAATCTACATTTCTACTGTCTATTTAAAAAATAAAATATTTCTTTATTAATCATTTCTGTCAATCTTACCTCACTGACCTGCTGAATGGTGATATATAAGCAGCGTGTGATACAGGTACATTTGATTTACATGTGCACATATGTATATGAAAATTAAGAACCATTAAATTTGTGATATGTGATTTATACGAATGTTTTAGTTATTTAACAGAATTATATAGTATTCGCTAAGTTGATCAGTTTCATGTTTAGGACACCAAGTTTTCTCCTAAGATAATTCATTAACAGACATGTTATTACTACAAACTTATAGAAATGTACCAGACCCACCAAAAATTTTCACCTCTGAAAAAAGACCGCAAAACGGGCAAGCAGTCGGTGGCGAAGTTCGTCCAGCAAATAACTTACAATTCGATATGTCACGTGGTAAAAATAAGCATTTCTAAATAGAATTTGAATCAATCGGAAAAGCGAGAATGAAAAACGTCTGGTAATTTTAACGAATTAGAAATGATATGGAAGCATAACTCTCTAACGAAGGTAGCTAAAACATGGTTCCAAACTCATTCCACTAAACTTCAATACATCACAACACGCACAGAAAATACTTTGCCGAATCAAATCACTGCAATTGAATTCGTCTACCCTTTCATTGGGTAACATAATGTTAGAGTGAAACGGAAATCGCAACCAAGTGAGTGAGTACGAGACAGACAATTTCGCGCGGCGCGGATTAAGAGGGGAGGCGCGCATTTTTTTTTCCATACAAACGTTCTCGACTGATTCCTCTTTGATTTTTATCACTAAAGAATTGATTTTCACACATTAATTATAATTATAGCTATTAACGGAATTGTCACCTTGTTTTTTATGAGTCTCCGATATTTCGGCACTGTTGCAAACGCCATGATCACGGAGTAACTGAAGTAATTGCGGGTAGATGTTATTGGCAGACATATCGGTCTACCCCCTGACGTCGTCTTTTACTGCGCTACCAAAATGCGGTTCACATATGAGATGGAAGAAGACCGAAGTCTGGCCTTTCTTGATGTGAAGATTCGGGTGCGGAATGACGGTTCGCTGAGTCATTCCATTCACCGCAAATCTACACACACAGACCGTTATTTCAACGCCTCCTCGCATCACCACCCTAAACACCTAAATACTGTAGTCACTTCACTAACGAACCGTGCATAATTATGACTTGTGTGACAAGGAACACCTGCACGAAGAGTTGGAGCATGTACGGCGGGTCTTACAGAATAATGGATACAAGGGAAAGTTTCCACCCAAACATAAATTAAGACACCAGAAACACCAAGTAGATAGGCACCACAATTTTTGCCATATATCAAAGGAGTGACAGACAACATCTCGAACATACTTATTAAGTACTCACTGAATACTATATTCACTTCTATACAAAAAGTTCACAGATTCTACGGTCTCCCAAAGACAACTTACTCTTGGAAAAAGCTGGTGTGTACAAGATCGACTGCAGCTGTGGTATTCGTATATTGGTCAAATGAAGCGAATAATAGCGTGCCGAATGAAAGAACACATAAAAGCAGTCAGAAATAATGATACGCAAAAATCAGCCATCGCGAAACATTTAATTGATTCGGGTCCTAATCACTGGATTGAGCTCCATAATCCACAAATTATCTCGACAGAACGCCACTACATACCAAGATTGGTCAGGAATTGACAGAAATGAAAGCGATTGAAATAACCACACAAATAACCAAACAAGGTTGTCTGGAATCCAGTGGTCCGTATGTGTAGAAACCGCAAAAATCAAAAAAGTGTCGTTCCGCGATCTGATACTGTGAGTATTGTGTGTCGGGAACAGGTGCGAGTGAATAGTATGTGACCAGTGGTAGGGGCAGTAAAAGACGATGTCAGAGGGTAGACCGATATGTCTGCCAATAACATCTACCCGCAATTCCTTCGGTTACTCCGTGATCATGGCGCTTGCAACAGTGCCGAAATATCGGAGACTCATAAAAAACAAGGTACATGGTTGTTACCATCCCGTTAATAGTTACAAATGTTAGTGACCATGAAAGTTTAAAACAATATATCATTAATTATAATTTTACTCATTCTATGATCCTATGCCATACTTTTTTTCGATAACTTGTGTTTCAAAGACATGCATAAAATAATTTTTTATCACCACTAAGGCGTCTAGTGTAAAGATTAAATAAGCATTTACAAAAAAAAGCAAAACAAAGAGGCATACATAGTAACTTCTCATTATGCTTTGTGTAATTTTTTTTTATATCTAATTTTCGAGGAGGAAGTTGCAGAGAGCCAAACCTCGATTTTTGAAATATTTATACGCAATTTTCAGCGTTAACTACTGTTGTTCCTATCAGACGGTATTTGCCAATGTGTGACAGCAATAGTTTTTTCAAGTACCTATTTCCCAAATGTCTCTCAGCTCGCGTCCACTCTTAATAATGATAACTAATGTTATTATAGAGCTTAGAGATAAATTATGTTTCCTTATACCTGGTTTTCAGCAAGAAACAAGTATTCTACTAGTTTTATACTAAACTTGTAGAATACTTGTTATAAACCAACTTGTCGAATTATTTTTTCTATACATGTATTGTAATTGTCTCAAACATTGTTGCGTTGACACTGTGTAGCCAACAAGTATGTATACAAGTTTAAAACTCATTGATGTTTACACTTATGTCTGTGACATTGTCAAACTTGTCAGATACATCTATAGCTGCAAAATACGGTCCTGTTTATTTTATTGAAAGTATGACAGTACACGGTCTAGGGGCGCACTAAGAAAGGAACACCCCAAACGGGGTTTCAAATAGGGGTTCTAGGTTTTAATGAAAGGTTGTATGAAAAATCTTATTCCTTGGGTAAACTAAGAGACTTAAATACAAACCGTAAACAGACTGAGAAAAATCAGATTGGATAAACAATAAGCTACTTAAAATGACTAATTCCACCTGTACAAAGTCGCGGGCAACAGCTAGTTATTACAATATTAAGCTATGTATTACAATGTTGTTGACATTTTAAGCATCTGTTATAATACAAACCTGTTGATTTGAGTGTTCTGGACGGGCACTGGCCATCAGTTGCTGCTGCATTAAGTGTTGATGTGAATGATGGCCCTAAACAAATAAAATTATACCAATAAGCTGCTATCTCTTGTTATATAAAAGGTACTTTTAGTTAAAATCAATCACAGTACATGTTTTACATTCATAACTAATTACTAAAATATGCATGTTATTTGTGAAGTAATGTAGTAATAATTTACATGCATATTATGATATGTATAAAACTACTGTCTTAAAGAGTCATGCATAGACTAAGTGTACCCTAATCTGATTTAATTAATTTATAAATTAGATAAATAATAGTAAAGAAAATAAATTTCTTGGAAGAAAAATTATGCTTAAGTATCAACTTAAATTGGTAGTACAAATAAAGATATAGATCAAAGAAAATTAATGGTACTAATCTCTTGTTAACATTGTCCTATCACATGCTCCAATACTAACCTTGAAGCTCAACATGAAATACTATTGTCTACACAGCAACATAGGAGTAGCATTCCCGCTAATAAACGGATTGTGTTACCACGTGATTTACCATATCAATGTTATGGTGTTGTACAAACTCGACCCGATTATTGGGTACCTGCTGATGAGGCTGGCCTGGGCTAACAGTGACCTGAGTTGTGCCCGATGCTTGATGAGCAGCAAGCTCTTGCTGTTGTGTATGAGCCACCAATGCTTCTGAAACATGAAGTTCTAAGATTAATTATCCACTATTTACAACTTTTTTGAAAGTACTATAAATCATTTGGTTTCATAACATAATAATAAGGCATTTGTTAGGCTAATGAAGACAAATAATGGAGCTATTTGAAATAAGTTATACAAACAATTACCATGTGCTTGTCCCGACTGAGTGGCAATGATTTGTGAAACTGGTATTTGCTGAGCTCCTGCAGCTGAAACTGTGACTTGGGGTTGGCTAGCATGGTGCCCCAGTATGATGTTGGGGTCACCGTTGAGTATACTAGCATGTGTTTGTCCCAGATCCTGCAGCAACTAAGGACCAATAAAATAATGTTAAATTTGTATTCATAAACACAGTGGTTATCATAAGAACTATTTGAATGTGACTGGGACACACATGCTTATTTATTTCTTAAAATTCACACATACCCATCGTTTAATAAAACTCTTAGGGCCGCAACTGCATTAAGAGGACGTCCTCATGAATTCATACAAAATTACTTTGTCTGAAGACATGCAGGTAAATTTTGTAGAATATGCGCAGACTCTGCTTAATACATTGAAGCCCTAAAGAAGTGTACACTTTACTGAATCAAAAACCTCAAGAATAGTGAAAAAGTGTTTTATTGAATATATTACTGATCAAATTGATTGACATAATGAAAAAAATAACCAACACACCAATTAGCCTAGCCCCAAAGTAAGCACCCTAGGCTTGTGTTACGAGAGTAACAGATAGAATACATATACTGATACATATATAAGTATATTTATGAAAGATCACATTAATTTCAAGAAGTTTTCATAAGTTAAATTTTTTAATTAGAATAACTTAAAATGAGTAGTACTGCTTTTGTTCAAATTATCAGAATGTAACTGTATGTATTCAATTAATTGTTTTGATTAGTTTCTCAACAATTTGGTACCTACACTTATTACTACTTTCTTAAGAAAATTGATATTATACATAGTCATCTGTTTACAAAAGTTCCATATGGATTGGTCCTTTGGTCAGTGAAATTGGAGCCGCACTCTTCAACTTTTATGTGACATAGTCACATGATTTAATATAATACTTGGACAGGTATAGAGAGTAATTCTTGATTATTGAATTCAATTTATTTATTTGTAAGCATTTGAAACACAGATGGCAGAAAATTTTGGATTTTAATTATTCAAGACGTTTTGGTTCCGTGGTCTCAGTTATACAAAAAGCAAATCATACTTTTACATGTAGTCAAAACTGAATATAACCATTGGTCGGTTATGACATAACCCTATATAAACCATAATGTAAAAAAAAAACACTTTTATCAACATTGGATATAACAACATATTATTTATGACATTTAAAACAAATTATTCCTTTCAATATCCGTTGGCTATAACCCAACCCACCATTTCAGCAAAACAAAACACACTGTACTATACTTCAAATATTTTCACAATAAACTTTTTTATCCATTTTTTGGATAAATTATTTGAAAACAAGTTCATATGCATTTCCTACTTATATAATTTGCTTATAAGAACTATCCGACATAACGTCCAATTCATATAGTCCCTTCAATGTTATTATATCCAGTTACAACTGTATTCAAACAATAGCTATTTATTAAATAATGGGTATGCCTAAAAATTTTAGAAGTAATAGCCTAAGTGTTTAACCTGATGTTTAATCAGGTTGCAAAAGGCAGCTCATGGAAAAGAAAAATGTGATGCTCCAGTTTTACCTGGCCGACTTGGCAAGCATTGGGAATTTTTGCACCAAAAAATTAACAACAAAAGCAACAGGTAGTGTTATTTCAGTGTACACCTCAATAAAGTAGAAGTTACTTCCTCGGATGGGTGCACCAATTCAAGTAAAAATCCACTTGTGATTATATGAGGAGAGCTTAATGTAAATAAGAAAAGTTATTTTATGCCAATGGCATTCACTATGTATTTTTAATTTGAAAGGGATACTTAAAATTCTTATATGAACTTTGTGTTTAATGTCTTCCTATCAATTTATTGTACATTCATACTGATGTTTAACTATCTGTACAATTCCTAGGACATTCTAATCATTACATTATTAAGTATGTCAAAAAAAAATAAGTACCTGGACAGGCTTTCCATTTTCAATTCTAGCACCAGTAGGGAGGCCATAAACAGACACTTGCGGTATAGGTCCAGGGAAAAGGTTTGTAAAAACCCAGTATTTGGCGACGCTAGACAAAGCAACGTTCACTGCCGCAGAATTCACTCTGAGATCTGTCGCAGACGTCGTAGCTGGTAAATTACTACCTTGCTGTTGTTGTTGAGCACTTTGTACTCTTTGATTTTGAGACTGAAAACCGAAGTCACAAATTAATATAACTATTTAAACATGCCAGAAAGTCACTCAGACTAATTCTACGAACCTCCGAAGTTCCAGGAGGCTGGCCACCACCCGTGTTGATATTGTGATGATCTGGATTCATTATTAGTCCTTTCAACCTTAGATAAGATAACTTGCACTAAAATATTTACAATAACATAACATTTTCTAAACTTTACGCATCGGCATTGTCATAATTTGACTGTCATGGAAATGGAGGCGCGGGGGACGCGACGGGCCGCCATTACGAAACTTAGCGCACAATAACATTTTCTTCCACGGTCACATATACACGTTTTTAAGTTTAATTTCAAGTTAAAACTTATTGCAGTGTTCAACGATATAGCTATTTTACGCACTTACGTATCTCAAACTACAATACAGAGTGGAAAAGAAAAGTTCTACGAAAACACATTTTTCTTTGCACAAAATGCACACATCCATCCACGAAACGAACGAAGTTTTGTCACGAGAGCAGTGCTGCCAATATTATCACCAAACAGTGTTTTGTTTTTATTAATGTTTTTACTGTTAAATTGTTGATAGAAAGATATTCTAATGTCAATCGAAGTTTATAGTATAAAAATTATTGAAATATTTAAATCATTAGAGGTTTTTATAGCCAGTTAATATAATAAACTAGGTTAATCTTTGGAATTAGTTAGTAAGTAATTCCAAAGTCGTTCAATAGGTGGCGTGGAGATTAGAAAATGAAAAATCAGTGTCGGCAACACCTATAAAATAATGTTTCGTTTGGAAATGCCATACAATGCCATACAATATGGTAACAACCACGATACCATGTCTCGACCTCTCAGCACATTTATTTAGCACACGAAAAATATAAGTTCACAGATAACAATATTAGTAGTATAATTTTTCGTCCATTGGGACAGGCGAAGGTACTAAGCCATACTGCCAAAACACACAGATAACAAGATTATCGGTAACCAAGTAACCAAGTATTAAAAAAGACTTAGAAAGTCTACGATTGACATTGGCTGAACGCACAAACCGTGCATGCCATAAAAAAAGAAAAAGAAGAAGAACTCTTTTCCGGACTTTTTGGCGGGATCGGGAAGCGTCACTTTATCAGTTTTGTTTTTATTGTTAAAAATTGTGTTGTGGCGGATGTTAGTGTCTAATAATGGTGGATTGTTAACCACTAAGTGTTCGGGAACATGCACAAGTGTTGGCAAGTGAAACAAAATAGCGGAAAGTGTCTTTCGACGTTCCCTTAATAAATCCACGGGGAGGTTCCAGTAAATCCCCACACATTTACTGAAACATAGGGAAAGGGGGATTGACTTGACTGCCACTTATTTTGACTTGATTTATTACTTGGACCACGAGTGCTATAGAATTTGTAAACATTTTAACACTTGACATTGGCTAAATGCACAAGTCGTGCGAAGCCATTTAGAGATAAAAAAGAAAAACTTTTTCGACTACGAGTTTCATTATTTAAAGCATGTTAAGGACACACTGGTGTCGATTCTAGGATCCTCGAAACCTAAACTTAAATTTGATAACAGACAGACACCCTTGCATTTATATATCTGTAATTGTAGTTTCTTTCTGTATAGAGAATGAAAAGGAGAGACTGATATTAAATATTTTTAAGTTTAGAGTTTCATGCTAGGTTCGACACCACTATTCGCTGAATTGTAATTTTAGATTTTGAGATTTGGTATAGTATAGTGTACACAGATAGATATGGTATTTTTTTTAATAGGTTCCGATGAAACAGGACGAGTGAGAGATCTATAATAGAGGCCTTTTTGTCCTTGTCTAAAAGGATGATGATTAATGTATTTTTTTGAATAAAATAATGTAAATATTAAGAGCCTGCGCTGCGTTAAGCGGACCACGGAGCGGGTATACACTCCACGTGCAGTTTTTATGTCATTTCGTAGTACATGAAACAAAACCACTCCGTGCTTCCGCTTAATGCAGCGCAGGCTGTAAAACTAACAAATAGTTTTTATTCTGAAGTAAGTTTTCATTTAGCATTTATATTTCGGCAAGATCAAAATATGTCTTTATTATGATGTCGCTTTATTTCCTTTTTACGATTTTGGGTTTTTCATCCCGAAGAGCTGATACTGGGACACTGGAAAGTAAGGGGGTTCCAGTGTGCATCTCAATGTCCAAGGCAAGTTGTTGTAATGACGCCAGTTCCCGCAAAAATTAGCGTACGCCGGTTATAAAACGAATTTTCCTGTACTTTTTTATTTATGTTATTGTTATCAGTAGCGGACTATCAGGGGGGTGGAAGGGACGACACGCCCCGGGTCTCCAGTCTTGGGGGCCCCGCAAATGCCTCCGCGTTCCCCAGATCAAATCCTGAACAACACTTTAAAAATATGCTTAGTACCTACATATTGGATAAGAAATTTGCAAAATTTGGCCACTAGGGGCGTTGTAATCGTTTGACCCAAAACTTCTATCAACTACATACCTATTAACTTATATTAATTTTTAAACTTTTTATTAAACAAATTACAAATGCCGCGGTGTGCAGTTCCTGGTTGTTGTGAGAATACTGCATGCTTACCGACTAAAATATAATTTTATATGTTGCTTAGAAAGGGAGGGTAAAACTGAGCTGATGTTTACATCATGGTATGTATCTGGGGCAGGTAATTGCGTAAATATTAGTTCCTCAAACACTGTACCTCCCATTGTAGCCAGAGGTAACCTAACTCTATGAGATGACTCTGATGCAAAAATGAGATAGATTTGACTAATGAGCCTGCTAAAAGTAACTGAGATCCATGACCTATTAAAATAATCATAGAAAATGCATCTATGTACAGTTTGTCTATGAAGTCGTGACATGAATGTTTGAGGAACTAACATTATTCATGTGTCTGGCAACACCAAACTTATGTACATCAGCTGTCATCGAGTTTCAGTTGTGGAACAGTTTTCCTTTTGTATTTTTTAATGTTTGGATTAAACTGTAATAAATTAAGACGAAACTACGCAGAAAGGTATAAAAATGAGTAAAGTAAATCGGAGTGGCACGCGGGAAGTGATTTTTAAAGTTTTTCAGCGATGTTTGGAAGACTACCAAGCTGGACGAATTTTGTGGGATTTGGATGTTGTTTATGGGCGAACAGCATCTATGACGGGTATGTAATCGCGTAACTATTTGTTTGTTATCTGCCTGAAGTTACAAATTTACTCAATTTACGATTTTGAGACCAAAAAAGGCATTGTTTACATTGCACATTTTTAGGTTAGATTGACATTGTAAATAGGTAATATTGTAGTACGACCATTTCTTTTGTTACGTTATTATGGTTCAACTCGGTCAGGTTTTCTACCAATTTTGAATTAATTGCTTCATGTCAATAAGTTATTGTTTCTATTCCGTTACATATTTTTTACTTTTTTTCAGGAAAATCAGAGAGTCGGATAGTCAATGATGGTTTTAAGAATGATGGAAAGTTTGAAACTCCTGGGAAAACAGGCAAGGCCGACCAACGAAAGAAATGGTCACATAAAGAACCATGGCCAGATGTTTTTAGTGAAGATACCTATCACTAATTTTACTAACTGCACATTTACAAATTGTTTCTCTAAATAAACTTTTTATATACTATAAAATGATTTTTAGTATTATTTTCTTAACAAGTGTGTTAAAAAACGTCGTATGATGATACTTGTGTGTATTGATGACTACCTAACGGCTCTGGTCTCAATGGCACCTCAGCGGTAATCACCAACATTACACACTTTTACACTATAAAGTACTATTTTATCTATAATAATTTTATTCTGATTCAATTAAATATGCTTGGCTAAACTTTTTATAAGCATAGGTACCTACTATATATCGTTTAGTGTGTCTAATAAGACAAATTACCTATTTTACTTGAATGAACTGCTAGTATCAAAATCATTTTGGTCCGACTGTACAGGGTTGCTACATGCATACTAGTGGCGCCATCATTTAATGTCACGACTTTATAGATAAACTGTACCGAGAATGAGCATTCTAGCATAATAATAGAAAGAGTACCTTTCAGCTTTTCTGCCTTGCTTCTCCTTTTCAACTCTGTTTTCAGCTGTATTACAGATCATGTTGAATACATTTCACCACTTATTCAATATTTTTCACAACAAAAAAACACGTTTAAAATATGACAGCTGCAATATTCGGCTGTGGTTAGGGTCAAGCGTTTGCAGCGCCATCTATGTCTAGCTTGGCGTATACTTCTCCAATGGAGAAGATCAAAGAGTAGTATTTATATTATGACAAGATTTCATAAAGATCAAAACAACAGAGCCATCTAGACTTCTACGCGGTACTAATGTTCTTTTAACTTTGCTGAACTTGTCCAATACGCTGGAGAAATTCCATGGGAATGCCCGTCTTAGTAGCAGGTGCTTTCTCAGGAATCCCTTAATGAATGACGTGCAATTAATTCATTCCTGTACGCATACATTTACATTCACTACATTATATTTACGTCGAAAAATAAGCATTGGTTTCATTTAAAATTTTTAGGTATTAAATTTCATTACTTTAATATTTTATTACACTCGAGAGCAATGAATCCGGGTGGATTACAGAATTCTATAAACTTTCGCAAACTAAGAAAGCTAGGTTAATGAAATAAATTCTAATTAATAAACAATTAAATACTCCATAAATGAAGTTCTTAAAACTTCTTGGATATTGTAAAGTTATATCATAAAAAAAAACCAATTTTAAAAAGGGAGATTTTCGAAGACGGAACTATGAAATTACTGTATTTGTTTTTGCTTTTGTTTCTAATCTGTCATTTATCATTCATATAAACTATGTTGATAGTGTTCAATATTAATTTTACAAGCTGTAATCATGCCGCTTACACCTGAAGAATGCACCAGAATTCTCACAATGCTGGAAACCGGCCGGAGTCAGCGCGATACAGCCAGGACTGTTGGTGTGTCGCTGTCAACAGTACAAAGAGTACTCTGACCAGGAACAGGCAGAACCAGGTGTACCACAGCACGAGAAGATCGATACTTAGTGAACACCATGCTTCGAAATTGCTTTCTCACAGGAACTGAAATTACAAATTTTACGATTTTTATAACATCCTTTGTGAGGTGAATGGGGCTCCGGCAGTGCAAAAGTTAGTTTTTGTATTGCGGGTGCCTTGTCTTTCAACTCATGTTTATTGTTGTGTGCCGTATTTTATGAGAGAAATAAACTATTATTTTTATTAAAAAAAACGACGGGTTGCACTCCGGGAGTGCCTGCAGAAGTAAAAACTTGAATATGAACGTTGTGCATTTTTGATATTTTGGAATGGTTAGGAAATAATTTTGCACGAATTGCTTTAATTATCAGTATTAAAGTACCTACTATCATGTATGTGGTAGAATACAATATTTATTTATTGCGCTATCGTACACAAACATGACAATTTATATTATATTAAACAAAAATAACTTTCAGAAAAATCAACTTACATGAATCACATTTAAGCGCACCTAGCGACATCTATTGTAAAAAATGCATTTTCTTCGCAATAAAGCTGCCACGTGGACGTCCTAGACTTATTATAATAATACGAGAAAATAAAATATGACTATGTTTCGTCAAATATATTGAAAGTCAACAACCTTTCCAATTTTTTTTTGTGTGTCA